CGGGACTCAAACCAGGAACTGCAGTATTGGATGCAGTGTCCCAAGCAGCATCCATCTCCACAAATCTTTTTAAAGTCCTTCTTTCTGCTTAATAGCAATTTTAGAGTGCTTTTAAATTTATAGAACAAGTACAAAGATCTCACTGGAAATTCCCATATTCCCCAACCCTGGCTTCTCATTATTGTCACCTCACATTAGAACGGCAGGCTTGTCATCATTAGTGGTCCCTATTATTCATTTTTTTTTAAAGATTATTTATTTATTTATTGGAAAGTCACATATACAGAGAGAAGGAGAGACAGAGAGGAAGATCTTCCGTCCGATGATTCACTCCCCAAATGAGCGCAACGGCCAATGCTATGCCGATCCGAAGCCAGGATCCAGGAACTTCTTCCGGGTCTCCCACACAGGTGCAGGGTCCCAAAGCTTTGGGCCGTCCTCGACTGCTTTCCCAGGCCACAAGCAGGGAGCTGGATGGGAAGTGGAGCTGCCGGAACCAGAACCGGCGCCCATATGGGATCCTGGCGCGTTCAAGGCGAGGACTTTAGCCGCTAGGCCACGGCGCCGGTCCCGGTCCCTATTATTCATTAAAGCTCAATATTTATTCACATTTCCTCAGTTTTCACCCAATGCCATTTTTCCCCCCTGGAGCCCACGGAGGAGCCGTTGCAGCTGCTTATTCCATTTTGTCTTTAGGCTCCTTTTGACCCTTGGGTTTCCCTGGTTCTTGGGGACCTGGGTGGGTTGAGGAGTACTGGTCTAGGACTCCCTAGTCTGGGGTGTTCCGGATGGTTTTCTCATGCTTAGGCCAAGTTCTGAGGAAGATCGCAGAGGTATGGTGCGATTTTCATCACAGCATGCTCGAGTACACGCCAGTATGGCCCCAGCAGGGCTGACTGTGGCTGCTGGGCACCTTGGTCATCCAGCTGAAGGCCTCCCACTGCACTGCAAGCACTCACTAACAGAAACACTCGTGTGATTGAATGTTTAAGAGCTGCAGGTTCAGCCTCTTCGGTTCTTTCCACAATCCCAAATAGATCCTGCTATTATGCCAAGGGACAGAAGGGTAGATACTTTGACACACATTTATTATTTTGTTATTTATTATTTTTGACAGCTGTTTAATGATTTGAAAGGCAGGGTGAGATTAAGACAGAGATCTTCCATCCACTGACTCTCTTCTCCAAGTGGCTGCACCAGCCGGAGCTGGGTACATCCAAAGCCAAGGTCCAGTAGTCTCCCGTGTGTCTGCAGGGGCCCAAGGACTTGAACCATCCTCTTGCCGCTTTCCCCAGGCCATTAGCAGGGATCTGGATTGGAAGTGCAGCAGCTGGGTCTAAAACTGGTGCCCCGATGTGATGCAGGCATCCCAAGCAGCAACTTAACACGCTGTGCCACAACACCCACCCCCATGCAATACATACGATTTTGAAACTTCTTGCAAAATGGACTTAAATTCATTTTGGTGCGATGATTTTGCAATCCACAACCAGTTTTTCCATGCTATGCATTTTCTCTAAACTTTTCCAAGGTGCCTCACATAAACAGCATAAACTTGACCCCTGCAAACTCGAGCTTCATGCCAGTGGCCGATTCACGCTGTCCTTCAGCCATCACTGTCACCCACTCTGAAACTTTTTCATTTTTCCATCATTGTTTTTGTCCTTTCCTGAGCATCACGCAGAGTCTTGCGGTTGGTTGTTCAGGGATTCAAAGAGTTCCAATTGATCAGCCCAAAGCCATGAGCTCCTCCCTTTGGGAGGGGAAGTACTCTGAATGATGGCTTCCAACCTACCCTCACCTTGACCAGGCTTCCTGCTCTGAAGAGTGCACTCTGCACACTGATGTTGTCCACGGCACCAGAGTTGATGTCTACATACGCCCCAGGTACGCACGTGCTCGGCTTTGCGCTGCTCCCTCTGCTGCTGAGGGCTCAACAGTTCCTGCATGTCCTTCGCTATACAGAAAATTCCACTTTGCTAAGGGCAAAAAAGTGGAACAAATTCTGCGCCCACCTCTCCCTGTGTGTGTGTGTGTGTGGGGGGGTGGCATGTTTCTGTCATCTCTGGACTGGGCCCCGATGTATGAGTACAGAAGCTGTCCTGAGCAGTCCTGCAGCCAGCTAGGGAGCCCCCACTTTCAGTTTGCTGCAAGACGCCGCAGCTTCTTGGAGACCCCACAACTGCACACCAATAGGGCACACTCTTGAGGGGGTCTGGTCCAGGGCCCACAGGCCAGGCTAATAAGACCACTTGGCAGCGCGAGGAGCCAGGCCTGGAGCCTGAGTTCTGTGCAAGGGAATTGTGCAGGGTTCCAAAGGCCCAGAGCAGTGAGCACAATGAAGGTGCAGCTGAAGGCTGTCTCCATACAGACACAGCAGAAAGGGCAAAAGCAAAGTTTTTGAGGTTTGCATACCTGTCACTCTTCAGACAGGTTATTGATGCTGGGGGGCAGCAAGTTAACCAACCACCTGTGATGCTGACACCCCAAATCCTGGCTCTTGTATGTGCCTCGGATACAGTGGCCTGGCTTAACCCGGAACTCCCCCAACCCAGCTCCATGCAGAGCAAAGGTTGCTATAGCCCTGCCCAACCTGGACCACCACCAATCCGAGTTCTCTGGTTCCTAAGTGGGAGCAGTGGTCCAACAGGGTGGTCCCCACAGTCCCCTTCAATAGACCCACTCCCAGCCATGAGTCTTGAATATGTAAGTGGGTATTGCAGCCCAGTCCGGCATATCCCATTTCACCTCAGTATTTGCCATAAGGTGCTGCAGCCTTGCTCTGCTGGGCCTGCCCCCAGTCCTAGCTCATGCTAGGGGGTGGGGTGCTGCAGCCTAGCCCAACCTGCCCAGTACCCCACCCCAGCCCTAATGTGAGCTGTTGAATGTTGCACCCCAACCCAGCCTGGCCTGCACCTGTCCTGACTGCACCTGCCAGACAGTGTTGCAGGGTGGCCCAGCCCAGCCCACCCTCAGACCTGGCCAACAAGAATGCCCATGAGTACCTTGGTCCAGCCGGCCTGGACTGTCCCCAGCTTCGATTCTTACGTTCACCAGCTCATGATATACATTTTCCTGAACTTTTTGAAGATCTCTCAACAAACTGAATTTATATCTTGTGTGTCTCATTTCTTTTTCTCTCCCTGTTAGTGTCCAGAACAGTCCCTCGCTGCCAGGTTTCAGATGAACCAACCTCACAGAGGCAGATCCTGCGTGAATGGGCAGGATAGTTGTCCTACGGCACCGTGACCCCTTGGTTAGTGGGATGAGAGGCTCTGAGACCTCAGCCTCCATGTCTCTCTCCCGCCCAGGATGGAGACCAGCTAACGACTCCGTCCTGAGCAGCAACACATCCAAATATACTTCTGCTCTTCCTCACTTTTAAGTGGCAAGTGCAGGGTCCCCTTCCTGATGGGATTCCACAGTCCCATCAGATCTGCCTTTGTGTTTCTGACAGTCTCTTCTAGGGCACCGAGTGTGGCCCAGGCAGGCACTGGAGGCTGCTCTGTAGGTCTTAATGTTGTGGCTTAGCCAGAAGTCTGGGGTCCAGGAGCCTCCCTGTCACAGGGTCTTTCCTTGCCCCACGGGAGTCCAAAGGGCTGGTGCTTTGCCTCTATTTTCTGGAGGGCTTGGGCTTGTCATCCTAACAAGATACCCATTTTTCCAAGTTCGGTAACTCACATCTTACTACTGATCATTTTTTGCCTTTTGCAACATCATTTTCTTGTTGCTCAGCAATGTCAGCTAGCGGCCTTCTGCTGTCTCTGATGGTCTTCTAAGGAATAGCTCCATGCTTAGAGGAACTTTATTTCCTCAAAGATCTATTGACTTTCACTTGAGAGAAGCGAGATCTCTCGTTTGCTGTTTCACTCCCCAAATGGTCAGAGCAGCTGGAACTGGGCTGGTAGGAAGCCAGGAGCCAGTAGTTTTCTCCAGGTCTCCCATAAATACAGGGGTCCAAAGAGTTGGGCCATGCCCTGATGCCCTCCCAAGCCACCAGCAGGGAGCTGAATCAGAAATGCAGCAGCTGGAATAGAACTTGCATGGAGTTCGACTGGAGGCATAAAGCCTGTTAAAAATGCACAGCAAGTCCCCCAGGTGGAGGGCATGCGCCAAGCCTCAGGGAGTCCGAGGAGGAATCTAAGAGGTCTGAATGCTGGGGCTGGGAGGTGCTGATGGGAAAGAACTCAAGTGCGTGAGCACACGGCTCAGGCTCAATTCCAATGACCTTGGGTTGACTGCAAGAGGAAGAGGGACAGCGTGTGGGGATGAGGAGGCGGAGGCAGCGAGAGCTTTCTTCCAGATGCTCCTGCTGTGCCCTTTAGAAAACATCTGGCTGGGGCCAATGTTTACCGACTCCTTACAAAGACCTGGGAAACCCGGAAGGCCGAGGGGAACATAACAAAAGGCAGTCAAATTTTTCAGACACATACAAGGGGGGGGAAAAAAAAAAGATGAAGGTACGTCACAGAGTTAAAAAAAAAAATGGAATTAAAACCACACACTTCCCCAGAATGTTTTGGAAGTACTCTCATATTTATGAACGGTACTACAAGAATTCCCAAGTTGGCAAAAAACAAAACTACCTCTAATTAAGGTGCGAATGTGAAATCCTGTCTTTGGACCAAGGGTGGGGATGGGGGTGGGGAGAACCTGTGGCTTCCTCATAACAGGAATTGTTTAGGGAAAGCCAAGCATGGGGAGCAGGGTTAACACTGCTTTTCCAAGCTGTCATGAACGGCTGCAATTACATGAAGTTAATTTTAACTTTTGAGGCAATACTACTAGCCACGTAAGGAAAGGAGTATTACTAAATTTTCCGCCTGAACAATTTATGACAACACAAAGGCTATTTATTGGGAAGGATACAGAGCAACCAACCTGAACCCATCTCAACTTGTCAGTTGCAAAAATCTTTTGAGCGTAAGCCCACAGGGAAAGACTGTATGAAGCAAAGCTCTCCTAAGATAATGCACACAAACCAACATAGTCTATTTAATAAAAATATTTAATGCTGCCAAAAAGGTATAAAAATACAGTAGGAATGGCAGTACAATACAAAGTAATCTCTCCTAATTTATTTCTTTTACAACTTTCTACATTTCATACACGCATTAAAAAACATTGAACAGTACATGAAATTAAAGGGTTCTGCAAAGTCTTCTGCTGGTGGGTGCTCTTCATTCCCTGGATGTAAGGTTTACTTTGTAAACAGACAACTGTGAGGCAATCTACAGGTTTTAGCAAGCCTCACTTCAGTTTCCGGAGTGGGTTTCAGGTCTTGCTTTGCACATCAATGGTTCAAAACTTAGAGCTGCAGAATATTCTCAAGTCATGAATACTTAGGTGTCTGTCAATCTTGGCCTAAAACATAAAATAAGAAGTCATCTATTCAATTCGTATTTACCAAACACACGGACGTACAGAGACACACGCAAACATGAAAGGACTAACAGTGAACCAAAAAGGCAACCAAAAAAAAAAAAAAAATCAATCCAACATAGTCACATCCAACCGCACTAAGGGCTTCACTGGTATTATGGCACAACGACTCAAGTCCTTGATTTTCCAATCGGATGGGTGGTGTGAAGCTGACCCATGTTAAAGCCCCATAATCCACATTCTTCTTCAAGAACTGCTAACTCTGAATTTTCAGGCCATCCTGTCTTACGCAAGAAACGTTCTCCATGCGAGCGATCGACAGACAAACAGGTTTAAAAGAAAGGGATTAAAAAATAAATAAATAAAAGGTACCCACAAGAATTTGGCAAGACTGTTCGGTATGCGCTAGACTTACCAACACTTTGGAATTCAATGCAAAAGTCTAATCCAATTTGGACTTCCAATGTATAACACTGCTAAAAATATTATCAACGTAATGTCTGAACATAAAGTTGGCTTACAGCTTTAAGTCACAGATTGTTAACAGATGTTTTTGTCCTGAAGGAGAATCCTAACAATTACAGCTACAGAACTGCAGAGACATGATACTTCGGTTATTACTAATGTAAAAGAAAAACACACACATAAAATAATTGACAGATTTATTACATTTCATACCAAAAGGTAAAAATCAGTGTTAAACAACGGAGGGAAGGACTGTGCAAAGGCGGTTATTAACCTTATTTCACAACGTATGTAAAGAACTAAACTTCTGGGGAGGTTCATGGTGTTACCACTCTAACGCCTTTCACGACCACCACAAAAACCCAAGTCTAAATGTCCCTCGCTATCCTATCTCCACATACACGCATGGGAGCGCACATCACTGCTACACATCTCGCCAAAACCTTCTAATGCTGAGAATTAGATTTCTTTCTGCCCACTGGCTCCTTCCAACAGGAAGGTGCAACTGTCCCGAGCCCTTCTGGAGTGTTGTCACTAGTCCATTTGGTTCTGAGGGGCCAACGCTGACGGAGAAATGCCTCGCATTCTGCTGAGGAGCCCCTGGGGTGAGAAAACGCTCCATGGACACCCATGACAGAGATCTCCAGCCCTGAACCAAAGTGGCTGTAGGTTCTGACTGCTACAAAATACGTAGTTCCTTCCCATGCTTGCAGAAGGCCTGCTCTTTCAAATCCAGGAACTCCGTGTGACCAGTCAAAAAGAAATCATATGAATGGCTTGGATTACAGGCTATTCATACGATTTCTGGTGTTTTCTGGTTGGAACTGTAGTTCCAACTGTTTCACGCTTTTGTTGTTTGAAAACAAGGCAGGGTGATGGTTCGGCCCAGGGGTCCAGGCTCGGCTCAGGAAGCCTGTGCTCCCTCGGGGTGCCTGGGTTTGACACATGGCCCTGCTCCCGATTCCAGCTTCCCCCACTGGTGCTCTGCCGGGGCGGCAGCGATGACTTAGAAGTGGGGTCTCTGTCTCCCACACGGGAGACCTACACTGAAGCCCTGGCATCCGGTGTCAGTTCCCCAGCCTGCTGCAGGTGTTCACGGAATGAGGCAGTAAATGGGGGGTTGTATTTCTGCCTCTTCGGTAAGCGCAATGTAGAAGCAAGATGATTATTTTGGATCCTAACAGGTGAGAGTGGTTGTCTATATTTTTTCAGCTAAACATCTAGCTCAAATATTCCACAGGAACATAAACTGTGTGACGTACTAGGGAAAGTAGGTGGGGTGTTGTGATTGGAATACTACAGATGGGGCTGAATCTCAGCTCTGGCCTTGACTCACAGGGCCATCTTGGGCAACTTATTTGTCTATCTGAAAACAGGAACAGTGACATCTGCATGGAAGAGGTGTTTTGTGGGTTGGAGTCTGTATTTAAACTGCTGGCACAACTAGGCATGCTCAACATACACTGCTGTTCTTCCCCAGAGGTCGTGTCTTTAAGTGTATCTTTAATACAATTACCAAGATGGAACCATCACCCATGAAACCTGAAATCACTGGGAGGGGCAACCGGCTTATTTGCCCGGCTGGAAAGAAAAGTGAGCCTCCTCTCAGAAATTCTTAATACGTTCATTTGGCTCGGTTTTTGCTGTGTTACTGACAAAAGTAAAATGAGCTGAAGCAAATCAAACGAAGTCTGCTGTGGGTGCTTTCTGTGGAGAATGTGACCTCGCAAGCCTAACCTTCCCTCACTAGACCAGAGCATGGCTGGCTGCCTACAGAGCCCTCCTGCCACGGGCCAGCTCCATCTGGCTGGTGGCAGCCACCCTGCACTTCGTGTCACTTTGGTCTTTTCACAGCAATGTTCCGTGGAAATGAATCAAGGTTATTCACATACTTCTCTATCTCACATTGGAAACGGTGGTAGAGAGAACCTTTCCAAGGACCCTCTCCTCAGGTCACCAACTTGAAATACTGCAAAGTTCTTATAGAAGCCATGTGCAAAACCAAGAGCACCAGCTGTCTGAAAATCGAAGCAAATGAGAGCAACAATGAAGAACAAGTTGATGCTTCTTCAAGAATGATCTCCAAAAAAGGGGGAAAAACAAACATCAGGTGCAACTGTCCCTGCAGCTTCCGCAAACTGCGTCATGCACAACCAGCAATATCCTGAATCTGATAACCCATACTCTACTCTAAATTAAAAGACCAAAACACAGAGAGAACAATGACTTCCCAGAGACGGCCAAGGCTCTTCCAAATGTGTTTTGGTGTGAGGTTTCCAATGCCAAATACAAAGTCATTAGTGCTGGCATTGTAGAGTAGTGCGTAAGGCTATGGCATGTGAGCCGGGTAGGAGCCCAGGTTCAAGTTTCAGCTGTTCCATTCCTAATCCAGCTCCCTGCTAATGGTGTAGTAAATACAGTCAAAGATGGCCCAAGTGTTTGGGCCCCCAATACTCACATGGGAGACCCAGATGAGCATCCTGGGTCCTGGTTGTAGCCTGGCCATGCCTGGCTGTTGCAGCTTATCTGGGGAGTGAACCAGCAGATGGAGGATCATCCCCTCTGTGTATAACTCTTTCAAATAAATAAATACATGTTTAAAATATAACAAAAGCCATTTAAACCAAGCAGAAGTTGCTCACACCACTCTCTGCTTATTCCACGGCTCTGTCCTCGAGTTGAGCAGACAGGGAAAGGATCAACAGTGACAGCGAGGAACAACTTTCCCCAAGACAAGGAGTCTTTCTGAACCCGGACTCAAGGGAGGGAAGCGCTCTGAGGGGAGAGCGACAGTGCTTGTGCAGACTGCTCTGGGGTGTTCTTGGAGCAAATCCCTGCTGCTGAAGGGCAAAATGCAGTAGCCAAAACCATACCATCTTCCCGCATGTATGAAAAACTTTCAAATGTCACCCAAGAAAGAACAACAAAGCTTAAATTCCCAACTCAGGATGTGCCGTGAAAAGGTTGTACTGAGCCCAGGCACACAGGGAACAGTAAATGTGCAGGGTCTGAACTGAGAACTTTTAGGAAGCTGACACAATCTGAGTTTCTTTCTACCCAGGCATGTGGCCATATCCACATACCCAGGGAACAAGAGACAGCTCAACGTCCAGTATGTTCACTGTGTGGGTCTGCTGCTGCTATTAGCACAGAAACACTGCTGGGAGACACAGCTTCGAACAAATCAACCAGGCCCGACATGACAGCCCAGTGACTAAATCCTCGCCTTGCATGTACTGGGATCCCATATGAGCACTGGGTCATATCCCAGCTGCTCTTCTCCCACCTGGCTCCCTGCTTGTGGCCTGGGAAAAGCAGTCGAGGACGGCCCAAAGCCTTGGGACCCTGCACCCGTGTGGGAGACCCGGAAGAAGCTTCTGGCTTCAGATCAGCTCAGCTCTGGCTGTTGTGGCCACTTGGGGTGTGAATCATAGAACGGGAGATCTTTAACCTCCTTCTCTCTGTAAATCTGCTTTTACTATTTAAAAAAAAAATTTTTTTTTAGAATGCATCAATCAAGTCTGAAAACACTGGGAGGAAAATTCAGTGCAACAGGTCAACCCCAAGGTGAGTCATTCAGACAATCACCAAGACCTGTATTTTAGGTCATTAAGACACAGTTCTAGGAGGGAAGGCATGGGGAGGGGATGCGGGAATCCGAGAGCCTATGAAACTGTATCATAAAATGAAATCAAATACATGAAAACAAACAAACAAACCAACAAGGCACAGTTCTAGCACATAGCAACAGATTAGATTTCTCATTTACTTATGAGAGTCCATGCCTTTCTCATCCAAAAACATGCAAGCCAGGGCTGGTGTTGTGGAGCTGCACGTGAGGCCATGCCTGAGAGAGAGCCGACTCATGCCTGGTCGCTCCATTTCTAATCCAGCTCCCTGCTAATGGGCTGGGAAAAGCAGACGAAGATGGCCCACACACTCGGGCCCGTGCCACCCACAGGGGAGATCCAGATGAAGCTCCCGGCTTCAGCCTGACCTCATCCAGACACATGTCTGTTTCTGTCTCTCTTTCATGTAAACAAAACCTTTTAAAAAGCAAACAAACTAAAACAAAACATCAAACACCAAAACAGGGCCTGGCGTGGCAGCCTAGTGGTTAAAGTCCTCACCTTGAATGCACCAGGATCCCATGTGGGCTCTGGTTCTAATCCCGGCAGCTCACTTCCCATCCAGCTCCCTGCAGTCAGCCTGGGAAAGCAAGGACGGCCCAAGGCCTTGGAACCCTACACCCGCGTGGGCGACCTGGAAGAGGCTCCCGGCTTCAAATCAGAGCAGCTCTGGCCGTTGCGGCCACTTGGGGAATAAATCATCAGACTGAAGGTCTTCCTCTCTGTCTTTCCTGCTCTCTGTATCAATCTGACTTTCCAATAAAACTAACTAAATCTTTTTAAAGGAACAGTTTAAAAAAAAAACAAAAAACCAACGTCAAATAAGGTCTTCTTGAAAGTAAAGGAGCCTTTATTAACTGTTAATAGATAGTTGAGAATGCGTAACATGCATAACCTTTTCTGCTATGTACCCAGCTCCAAACTCCGGACAGAGGCACCCGGGACAGCCAGATGAAGGTCAGCCTTGACTTCCTCTCTGGGAGTGTGCAACAAACGGTATGTATACTATACATGGTGTATATCCTACACTATACTATATATAATATAGCAAAGAATAATATACAGACACAATTGCTTACTATTTATCTATATTTATGGATTTATCTACATAGGGTACATATCTACATATATTTGGTTCTTAGCAGACTGCATTAAAAATATTTTTATCAAAGTAACAATCAAGATGGACTAGATTATTTCCACATGTACATCAGCAGGCAATTTGGAAAAGTAAGAGCTCATTACATCCGCAATGGCCAACAAAAACATTCTAATATTGCCAGGCCCTGGTCTTTGTTTATATGGAGATATTTTTCTAAAAGAGAAATGACCCAATTTCTAAAAATAATAAATCTTTTTTCAATGACAGCACCACAAAAGTAAAACCATGGTGTCTCAGGATGATTACCGCTTGAATAACAACACCTACCTCATCAGCTGGCTGCGGGGATTGACTAGGACAATGTAAGAGAAGTGCTTAGCACGGTGCTTGGCACCTTGTAAATGACCAATCCAGGACAGCCACCATCACCTTGAACTGATGCTGAAAGCAGAGAGGGAACTGAAAATAAACCCAAGGAGTGTTCTTCGTTTTCAATTCCATGTATACTGGCTGATCCATATCATCAACTCTAATGGACCAGTTACAAGTTACTGAGGAGTCAGAATCCGTGCTTTGTTCAGCACAGCTCTTGTTAGAAGAAAACCACCAGCAAGGTTTGTTGTTTTTCATTTCCTTTCTTGTTCAAGAAACAAACTTGTTAGAAAAATCTCTAAGATAAATCTTTGAAAATTTACCAATAGCCTGAAGGATATATGGTTTTTATTTACTTATTTATTTAGACACAAAACCATTAAAGTTCCCTGTCTTCCTCTAGCAGCTAGCAGCGCGCGCGCAGGACCAGGGACCCTGTCTGTGTCTGCCTCTCTGACCCGCACACTGCATTTAAAGGCCAAGATGACAGCTGTGGGCACCAGGCCCCACTACCATGCGTCTGCGCTAAGATGACAGCTGTGGGCACCACGCCCCACCACCATGCGTCTGCGCTAATTAGTAGATGGTGCCTACTTAACACTCTAACACTTCCTTGGTCCACACCATGTGCAGGACCTGCTGGGAGTGGGGAGACACGTGACTCTGGAAGAAAGTTCACCAACAGATTACTACATTGAACTTGACTTTTAAAAAACATAGCAACTAACACATCCAGGAAGGACAACAGCAGACAAAAAGCAAAGCTGAAATGCTGAGTCCAGCACAGGTGCTGGGGCTATCCTTATCCATGTGTTTCCTGTAAGGAGGCTTTCCCTCTTTACTGAAAGCACAGCCACCTTCCCTGGCAGCATAAGGCCTACCCACATCGGACTTGCACAGTTCACATACTATATTGTAGCGAGATAAACCAACGCCAAGTGAAATAAAAGATTTTAAACCAATACCATCCTAAAGCCAGAGGGTCTCGATGCCTGAACACACGCCTAACGCAGACGAAAAACGGCCCTCTTATCCCCTCTCTGTATCAAGGTCATGTGACACAGTAATACTGAAATCAGGACTCAGGCATGTGTTATGTCAATCTTATTTAATGTGCAGTACCACCTACATCCTGCTTTCACACTTGCAGTACAAACTAACATATCAAATCAATTCAAAATATCATATATACCAATGGTTTTCAAACTGCTTTTCAATGAGAAGTGCTCTGCATAAAATAACCGAGCCTTATGCAGAAATCCAATGTGCTGCAAGAAGCAATGCAGAGATGCTGTGGTTGGAAATGAAAGCTGCAGGCCTGCCGTCGCCCTGTGCCCTCACACAAACCCAGGAGCAGAGTTTGAAAACCATGGAAATGACGGACACTGGCCATGTCTCTCAGCAAGTAAATTTGAGGCAACTATTTCAAGCCAAACAAGTCAAGCATGAAACGGAATGTTGGACACAGAGAAAGCTAGCACTCAAACCAGCAGAGAGTCTCATTACACAGCACGCTGGAACAAGAGCCATTCAGAAGCCAAAGGGACCGGGAAGGATCTGCATACGGTCTACTCTGTCACTGAAGTTTTAGAAAGAACATGAAAACACTCTTGCTTCAAAACTTCAGTCTAATAAACCAAAATCATGGATCCTAAAATGTGGCTAACTTGCCTCGCAAATCCTAATTTACCAATTATAAATTGAGGGTAACAACATCAAAATCTTCATGGAAAATGGACAGTATCAGTGAGGGGTTTTACAGAATCGACTTCTTTATAACGACTTACCCAACTGTTATCCGACTAACCCAGAAAGAGAATTTTCCTTCAGAAATATTTTTATGAAAACTTTGATTAAAATAGGGAAAATTGTAGGACATAAAGGAAATGCAAATATGTAGTAGAAATGGCTTATTTAGAGCTCTAACTGGTTATATCAAACTTCTCTCCAGGGAAACGCTGAATCAACATACAATTTATTTCATTATGGTAACAGATTTCAAATTGAGCTTTTTAAAAAGTACATTTAGCTACAAAATTAAGCTTAAATAGGTATTTATAAAATATATTCACCCTGAAATGGTAGAGAATATAAAGTGTTGATGGCCATGTCAATAGTACATCGTACATTATACACAAGAATGTAAAGGTCATTTTCTTTGCATTAGTAATGCAGATTAAACCACAATGTTTATTGCTTGTATCGAGTGCAGGTTGAGATCCAGACAGCCTCCAAAACCAAATCCTTGTGATAAAGGATCTCTCGGTGTTGGTCAGGTGAAACACTTAAGTCTGACAGGTAGGAATACAGCTGCAAAATGGACCAGTTTGGAACAAACACAAGTGTCTTTATTTTGGATAGCTGCTTACAGTTTGGGCTTGAGGAACCTGCAGTGAAGAGTCCTGAGATGTTGGCCTGGGGCTGCGGGATCTCCTGGGGCTGAGGTCTAGCCTACTGCACCATTTGGGGGCTGAGGGGGCTCACTGCTAACAAATTCCCTGCGGTTAATGCAGCACTGTCAGCTACCAGCGCAGAAGCTTACCTGGCAACACGGACTGTTTATTTATAGGGCATGTTGTTGAAAAAACAGTGTCCAGCCAACCAGAGCGCCAACCAAAATGACTGACACAAACCCCATCCTAGTGATAAAAGGCTGCCAATATAACCACCTTTTCCTTTTTCGTTCAGTCTCATTTAGCCTCTGTTTCATCTGCTGCACCTTCTGCGCCGTGGTGGCTTTTCTGTCCTCTCGCATGCGTTTCCGTAGAACACTGCGAACAGAGAAAAACAAATGAAAGGCAGTGTGTGTGTGCAGGATCTGCACTAACACAGAAGTTCGAGCACAAACCCCAAGCCCCATGCTCCCTCACGGTATTTTTCATCTTACTGTAACCCTGGAATTCAAAAGGGAAAATGCCTCACATTCTAAATTGGCTCAGGGATGTACTCTTTATAACTCAGCAACATCTCCCGGCACAGTTTCACATTAGTAAGTACTTGTTGTAGCAGGACCTGAAAAATCACCAAGGTACTTGCTTTCTTGAAAGATGAATTGGTGATTGCTGGTATTGACTGGTTGACTGATTGACTGATTTTTTTGCTAAGTAGCAAGCAGAAGACACTGGTCTCCCCCACACCTGACTGTCTTTGATGTATCACAAAGCTCCCTGGCAAAGGTTATCTAATTATGATGGCTACTTATTCTTTCATTTGCCCACACATATTTCTAGCTCCTATTTTCCTCCTCAATATAGAATTTTTACTTCAAAAGAAGCTCCTGACCCCCAAGATACTAGGTCCTAAAATAATGTTTTGAAAAGGAAGCAAATGTTAACAAATAAATTACTACTTCTTGCGTTTAAAGATAGAAATAGAAAACGCACAGGGGCTGGTGTCACAGTGCGGTGGGGTCACTCTGTCAGAGGACCAGTCTGTTTGTGCCCAGGCTGCTGTGTTTTGAGCAGCTTCCTGCTCATGTGCCTGAGAAGGCAGCGGAAGACAGCCCATGTGCTTAGGCCCCCTGCCACCCCGGGGGGGGGGGGCAGAATGTGGAGTTCTTTTTTTTTTTTTTTAAAAAAAAAGATTTATTTTTATTATTTTTTATTGGAAAGGCGGATATACAGAGAGGAGAGACAGAGAGGAAGATCTTCCCTCCGATGATTCACTCCCCAACTGAGCGCAACGGGCCGATTCTGAAGCCAGGAGCCTCTTCCGGGTCTCCCACGCGGGTGCAGGGTCCCAAAGCTTTGGGCCGTCCTCGACTGCTTTCCCGGGCCACAGGCAGGGAGCTGGATGGGAATTGGGACTGCCGGGATTAGAACCGGCGCCCATATGGGATCCCGGGCGTGCAAGGCGAGGACCTTAACCACTTGCGCCACCGCGCCGGGCCCAGAATGTGGAGTTCTTGTCTCCAACCGCTCTACTGTCACCACTGAGGACTAAATCAGTGGATGGAAGATCTCTCTCTTTGGCTTTCAAACAAATGATTAAATAACGAATTTTAAACACTCACAAAATCATCTCCTCCTTTTTACATATTATCTGTATTATGGCAAAAGTTTACATTTTCCTACCCCCAAATTAAACATTACTGTCACAATAACTTTTGCTCTGAACAAATAGCTTGGTTAAAAGTCCTGAATATCTTTTTGGTCTTTACTGCATGTAAGACACAACCTTTTTTCTTGGTTAAAGTGTTTAACATGAGCCAACCCTGAGGAACAATAATGAGAATAAGCCAGATGGTGGGGCGTTCCATCTTTGTGCACAGGACTTAAAAAATACTACAGTCAAGCAAGGGAAAGCAGGTAGTGGAGAACAGATTAAAGCAAACCAAAGAATTCTACCACCCAAACAGTGTGTGGATGATCGCTGACAAGACCCCAAATGAGTTTATTTGAACAGCTGTAGAGACTGGGACCCTGAAAACGTCTGAACATCATGTGAACGCCTACACAATCTTCAAGTACATTAAAATACAATGACACTATATACTTTCAGCGTAATAAGCCAAGTGTGCTTTTCAGACAATCAGAAAAATTTCCATGTGGCATCTACAAAAGAGGGTCCTTGAAGGGCTCACGGTAAAGCCTAGCATTGCTTTCAAAAAAATCCTTGCATCAAAATCAATTCATTTTTAAATTCCACTTCTCATAAACCTTTTGAAGTATGACAGTATCAGGATATCTTTTTTTTTTTTTAATGTATTTTTATTGCGAAGTCAAATATACAGAGAGGAAGAGAGACAGAGAGGAAGATCTTCTGTCTGATGATTCACTCCCCAAGTGACCACAACAGCCAGTGCTGTGCCAAGCCGAAGCCAGGAGCCAGGAATCAGGAGTTTCCTCCAGGTCTCCCATGTGGGTGCAGGGTCCCAAGGCTATGGGGCCATCTTTGACTGCTTTCCCAGGTCACAAGCAGGGAGCTGGATGGGAAGTGGGGGCTGCCAGGATTAGAACCGGTGTCATATGGGATCCCGGGGCATTTAAGGCGAGGACTTCAGCCACTAGGCAACCACGCCGGACCCAGTATCAGGATATCTTACTGCTATTTGTTAATTTATCTGAGTTTCTTTTAAAAGATTTATGTATTTGAAAGGCAGAGTCACAGAGTGGGAGAGATGTGATACTCCATGTGCTGGTTACCTTTCCAAAAGGCCTAAATGGCTTAGACTGGGCCTGGACTCCCCGCCTGCGTCTCCCATGTGGGTGGCAGAGGTCGTGCACTTGGGTCATCTTCTGCTGCCTTCCCAGGTGCAATATCAAGGAGCAGGAATGGCAGTGGAGTAACTGGAATTCAAGCTAGTCTACAGGATGCTGGCTTAACCTGCAGTGACACAGTGCTGGCCCCTCTGCTCATTTCTTTAATTAATGCCGGAGGGAATGTAGAACATTACTGGACAGTTTCTCAAAATGGTAAACAGAGACCTATATCTACAAGTCACACCAAATCTGTCCAAACTTATTAAAGATTAATACAATCTTTAAAAAAAAAGTTAAGTACAGGGTTACTACAGAATGCAGCAATGTTCCTTCCAGGTCTTCACTCAAGGACAGCAGGGTGAATGGCACGCGACCCACCCCAGAACCTTCTGCTCCCCAGGACTGACTTCCTGTCCTAAGGAGTTTTCGCTCTTCTCTAAACTTGTTCCAAATTTGTTCCCTACAAAAACAGAAAACCTTCCCTCCCCTCTGGTCCCTCCGTTGCTAACCTATCCAATTCTCTCAGCTCTCGGGCTGCACTTTTGCCCTCCACGCCTAGGGATTCCACATCCACGGATTGAACTACACATGGATGAAATGTGCAGGCATTCTGTTCCTGCCATTATCCCCGAAACTGAGTAGAGCAACTGCATGGTATTTATATTGTATTAGTTATTATATGTAAGCTAGAGAGGATTTAAAAGCTACAGGAGGGAATGTGTGGGCTATATGCAAATATTACATGTTATATTAGGAACTTGAACCTTCATGAGTTTTGTTACATCTAGGAATCCTGGAACAATCCCCACGGACACCAAAGAACAGTATAGAACTATTCTTGGATGTCTGAATTTTGTCTGAATATCAGTTACAAAGAATTGTCAAAGGTATACCCAGAATTCACTCTTTGATCTCAAAACTCGGTATGAAAAAATATGCACATATTTTCTAACGAATAAATCCGTGTTCAAGTCCAGGCTACCTATCCATCCATCCTGAAGTAGACAGGAAGTGTTAATCCTCCATGGGTCTCTAACCTGCCCTCGCAAGGTGCCCAGAATCGTATCGCCACATTCCACTGTATATGAAATCTTTAATATATTATTTTTGATTTTATGGCAGCATAGAGGTGATTAGAATTTGTATCTTGTATTTACAGTAACATCAATTGCCATACATGCTCAATATGATTAAATAATTACATCACAAGGTGTAGTAACTGTGTAACAGAGACTATCATATCAAGATGTGAACATACAGTGCAGTGTGTGTCTTTACTTCCAGACAGACATGGACTCCCAATGAAACTGTTAAATATATTCTGACAATAGGATGCTGGACACTCTGCCATTGTCCATGCCCACAATGTAAGGATACACTTAAACAGCAGAATGACGGACTTATGACTGCTTATGTAGGACTATACTATTGTAACAATATAGTGGAAATCAGTGGTGCAAGAGAGGGGATTTTGGGAAGGGGTAAAAGGAATCCCAGAGCCTATGGAATTGTATCATAAAATAAAAACTAAAATTAAAAAAAAAATCATAGATTATATGATTAGGCAGTTGGCACTTTAAATGCTATGTAAGAGTTTTAAAGAGTTGGGTTTTTTTTGTTTGTTTTTGTATTTGGGGAAAACTGGTTATGATTCTTGATAGGGCTGGGAACATATAACTTTTATCACTTAAAATATTGAAATAGAAAGTTAGTACTTTCCAAAAATGCAGTATATAATTCAGGATTGAACTTAGAAACACAAAGGCATGCTATCTATCTATCTATCCATCCATCCAATCATTTATCCATAAAAGGCAGAGACATCTTTCATTTACTGATTTACTCCTCCAATTTCCTGTAACAGACACTGCTGGGCTGGGCTACAGTCAGCAGACACAACCTCTCTCCTATGTGATGGCTACACATCCACCACTGAGCCGTACTCTGTGGGCTCCCAGATGAGTTAGCAGGAAGCTGGATCGGAAGCACAGCAAGGACTCACTGTGACATGGATTGTAGGTGTCCCAAGTGGCACCTTAACTGCTGTGCCAAACATCCTCTGCCTTATGTAGTTTAAGAGTACTATTCTAGAGGATGGGTTATTTCCAATTTGTGATCCAACAAAATCTTTTGTCACTTAGCTGGGCCTAAGCAAATTATTTCTATGTAGTACCCTGCCGATTGAGCCTAGCCAGGTTTTTTGCACATATTCTTGCAATTTAGACTACACAGAAAGTCTCCTGTGGACCCTTATCCGTGGGAAATCCTACGTAATTTCTGACAGACTCAGCAGACTTCTGCCAACACGTGCCTTGGCAGGCATGTTGTATGCTGTGCTAACAAGTGGGAGACGAGGCTCAAGAATTTTCATTTAGCCACGCTGCGATCCAATCTCAGTCATGTGGCTTTATGGGTTGTGTGATAACAAGCAATACTGGCTGTCAAATTAAGATTCCAGTTTCCACTATGAAATACCTTATCATCCCAACAAAGCAAAAACATACACATAAATTTATCTATATACACAACATGCATGTGTATGCGCAATTTATATATAATATGAACACATACAAAACTAGGTTAGAATATTCATAGCCAACTATTGGCAATTTCCAATAATTTCTATTCTATTCTTTAAAACACATTTTTTTATAACCCAATAACTGATTTCACAGCTATGAGATTTGATCTTCACTTTGACAAACACCGCTCTGGAGGATATTCAATTATGATGAAGACAAGAAAGTATTACCTTCTATTCTTTTGATGGCTGGAACTTAAGTCAAATTATATCTTGCTCTAGGAGTACTTCTGATATAAAGCTAGCTATCAATATTAAAATTTACCAGAGAAGGCAAGCATTTGGAATAGTGGTTAAGACAGCGTCTGAGAGGTCTGCATCCCGCATCCAAGTGTGTGAGCTGCAGTCAGCTCCCAATGCCAGTCTCCCACTGCTGCAGCAGGAGGCAGTACGGGAGTCTGGACTGACCTCCAAGCTCCTAGCTTTGGCCTGATCCAGATGCCATGCTGGGACAGGAATTTTACTTTGTCTAAATCCTTCTGTTTCGCTTACTTTCAAATACAGAGGAATTTTGAAAAACTTAGTGGGACTCAACAACAAAACTTTTAATGGTCTTTTGTGCAACTGACCCTAACCTTTCCTTCTCTGCCTGTGTCAGCCACAGATGGTCTTTCAGTTAGCTCACCTATTAGAAACCTTATTTCTTTGTTGGGACAGTCCCTCTGCTTTCGAGCATACACCAGTCCGTCACAGGGAAGACAACAAGAGAAAAAACCAACCATGTGAACACATCACGTACACATGAAGACACTCTACCACAGCTCTGAATGGTTTCAAATAACCTCTGAATACTTAAAGTTGGACAAGGATGGAAAGGCACAGAAATGAGCCCAGTATGCTTGGGCCACTGTAACCCACATGGAAGACCTGGAAGGAACTCCTGGTTGTGGCTGGCCTAACCTTGGCTATGGTGGCCATCTAGAGGGAGCCACAGGATAGAAGCCCTCTCTCATTCTCTCTTTCTCCTTGTAACTCTTTCAAATAAATACATAAATCTTAAGAAGTTGCAATTTAAAGCTAAAAAGAGGATAAACAACTTTATACTTTCACTTATCCTACAAGTCATAAACAGTAAGTAACATCACTAAATTGTGATGGATTCTGGAAATGAGATGAATGAATGAATTGGATTCTGAAAATGAAATGGCTTTTATAAAATTTCAGAAATATAATTTTGATATAAGGAAAATATAAGAATGAAGCTATAAGGTCCAGGGGATGCTTATTTACTATCCCAAATCTCAGTCTTAACAAACGACTTCAATATGGAACTTCTTACAATGAAAAGTATATTTGACTTCCTCCCCCTAAAAAAAAATAATAATAAGTTATTCAGGGCCCAGCACAATAGTCTAGTGGCTAAAGTCCTCGCCTTGCACGTGCCAGAATCCCATATGGGCACCAGTTCCCATCTAGCTCTCTGCTTGTGACCTGGGAAAGCAGTTGAGAAGGGCCCAAGGCCTTGGGATCCTGTACCCATGTAGGAAATCCAGAAGAAGTTCCTGGCTCCAGGATTTGGACCGGCTCAGCTCTGGCTGTTGCGCCACTTGGGGAGTGAATCAGTGGATGGAAGATCTTCCTCTCCTCCTCTTGTATATCTGACTTTCCAATAAAAATTTAAAAATAAGTCTTAAAAAAAGTTATTCAGAGATAAAAAAAAAAAAAAGACATACATCTTAGAACACCAGCTTTCTAATGTGTGTGTAAGATAACTACAGCCCTAGAAATACAGGTTTTTTTTTTTTTTTTTTAATTTAAAAAATCTCGGGCTCAGCACTGTGGCACGGTGGGTTAAAAACCTCTATCTGCAGTGCCGGCAACCCATGTGCGTGCTGGTTCAAGGACTTCCACGCAAGCTCCCTGCAGAAGGCAATGGAATACGGCCCAAGTCGCTGGGCCCCTGCATCCTCATGGGAAACCTGGATAGATTTTCAGGCTCCCAGCTTCAGGTGGGCCCAGGCCGTGCTTTTGTGGTCACCTGGGGAGTGAACCAGTGGATGTAACATCTCTCTCTCTAACTCAGCCTTTTAAATAGATAAATATTAAAAAACAAAACCCTTTTGAATGATTACACAGTTACATGGTTAGCATGAAAAAAGGATAATATGGCACTTTATGTAATTTTTTTTAGAAAAACGCTTTTTGCCTGCAGTAATGGAATTAGTTAAACTCTTGTAATTTTATTAGTAACTGTACAGGTGGCAAGTATTCAAATCACTTAGTTACTGTATTTGTACATTTTAGCACCTAATCATAGTAACTTGTACTCTGTCTTTTTCAACATTATTTATAAACAGAAGCTTTATTTAGTTATAAACAGAAGTTCATTTATTTTTCAACTTGCTTATAAAATTGCCTTTTTCGTACAACTCAAAAAATTTTTGAGAACAAATATGTAACACCTACTATCTAAATATTAATTCAACAGACAGCTAATGTACATTGCTTCCTGTCCATTGAATTTTTCAAGCAGAAAGCCTCATTTGCTATGGCATGTACTACCAGGAGGCTTACCTCTCGCTGTCCTCCACAGCTTCTTGCGTTTTAGATGAAAGCCCTGTACATCGGTCACCCGCCAGCTTCTCTTCTTCTAGAACTACCCGGCTCCCATTGTACTTTTCAGTCATTATTTTGTTTGATGAATGATCAAAAGCAGGAGATACATCTTCCTTTGAGAGTTCTTTCCACCGTTTCTAAAGAGGGAGGAGAAATGAGAAAATAGTGCACATGCTAAAATTTTGGCATCCCTTATGAATTGAAATTCTACATTCAAGTTTGAAGAGAATTCTGTAATGCTGAAACATGAATGAAAATCAGTAAGATATATCATACCACAGTACTTTTTACAACTATGCCTAAATTTAATAAATAACAAATCATTTAATTATTTATGTATGTCAGCACGTACCTGAATATAACTTTAATAAAAGTCTAGTGGCCTTTTAACTCTTTGAGACAAACTATGGCCTCACTAAAATTCAGTTAGTAAGAAGTTAGATTTGTGCTCAACTCTTCATACGCCCTAATCCACGGTGTGTAATGTAAAGTATAAACAGTCCAGCCGCTGGATGTGATCTGAGGCAGGCCCTAGTCATGCCAATTGGGTCGTCCCTCATAGGTATACCAGCAACTCCAGAATGCCAGCGCACCAGTAGGCTGGGCAAGCAGCTTCTCAGGCATGCCTCAACTTCAGAGGGGGTGATCACAGAAAGCGGGAATCATACAGAGACAAACGTTAGTTTTTCTCTGAAAGAGGATGTTAGCCCCCTCCTACAGCCTTGGTGGAGCTCAATGCATGTCCAGCAGGCTAAGTCACCTTTGCTTCACCATCACTTCCTAGTAACAACGGCAAGGAAGAGGTACAAGGGGTGTCCGTACCCACCGAGGTGGAAGTTACCACTGCACAGGCCAGAGAAAGAAAGGAAAAATAAACCAGGAGTATGACTTCTCAACTGCTACGAGGGCTGGGAACCCAACAGCCATCCATGCCCTGGAAGTCAGCAGTGAAGAGGCAGAGCAGGGGAGGCAATGGCTTTCATGACTTATGACTGACACTGACCCAAATTACTTGCTGTGGACAAAGGGCAGTCCCCTTGGAGGACACCACCATGGAAACAAGCTATTTTGGATCAAGTTAACAAAGAAAACACTACTAGACTAGCTAAGCAGAATAATGACTTTGAACAGCGTTGTAACACTGCAACTCAAACATCTCTGGAACTTATAAAATATTCATGCCCTAGAGGAACTACTTTTATACAAAACCGTGCCATTAAAAGCAACGCCTGCATATTTAATTTCTAAAACTCCTGGAAAACTCACTCATTCCCTAGATAAACTGATTTCTAATGTGCCCCATTATTATCATATAACAGAGGAATGGAAAAAAAAGCATTTTACCAGCCCCACCTTTCCTAGAAATGGCTATTTTACTTAACTGCATAATAAACATTTGTTTTAGATCAGCTAATTTACAAAATATTCAGAGTGTGAAATTGTGTACTCTGTGTTGCCTGGAAGATGGCAGACAGTGACAAGCACAATTTGTGCAATGTGGCCGGAGTGCAGGGAGCATGGACTCCAGGGGAAAGACATGAAGCTGGACAGGAGGCTGACCTCTACCTGAGGAATCCAGCCAGCAGTCACAGAAGCCCAGACCATGCACCGAGGGATGGGACATTTTCATTCTCAATGACTGTGTCAATCTTCTTCCTTTTGTCTCACAGTTCACAGCCGGAAAGGCATTACTGTCACACCCCTTGTGCAGATGAGTCCAGAGATTTTAGGCTACTTGCCTCAAGTTGTGTAGCAAGAGCAGGGCAAAATTTAACCCAGATGGTTGCGCTGACAATCTTGTAATCCCTCCTAATGCTGTCTGTCTCTGAAAAGCTCAACAATTTCAGACATAGGATAAAGAAAGCACCCAATAAACACGTTCAGCTGTCTCCACAATTCATGTTGGTCGAGTTTTGAAGTTTCCATTTTTTTACTGAGACCCAGTTACAACAACCTGGCCTTGTTCTCGGACAACACTCAACAATGTCAATGAACAAGAACACCCCAAAAATCCAGCCTCACTGGACCACTTCCCAGTACATGCAGCAAATTCAGCATTTGTCAATAAGAAAGGCACTCAGCAAAGTGGTAGGATGGAGGAGGGAGCTGTTTGATGGTAGCGAGCTTTCAAAAATTGACTCTGCCATGTGTGTGTGCAGCAAACTTAAAGTATCTACTCTTCTCCGATACAAAAGTGAGCAGGCAGTCATGAGTCACCTGTCGCAGCTTGTCACCACGGAAGTGTGAAGCCAAGGGATTTGACTGCACTAAATAACAGTTTCCTGTGAGTTCCCATGTGCAAGTCTGGCATGGTTTCACCTTTCTAAAGCTGTACTCATACTGAAGCACACTTCATGTGTGTAACGCCCCACTCAGTCTGGAATCCCCTCTCCATCCAGTTCTCCCACGAAAGAAAGCACCTTCAAGACTGAAGCGATGCAACGAAACTTGGAAACACAGTGACATTTGTTAGAAGTTTATCATTTCACATTTAATATCTTATTAGTAGGATCAGATTATTAACTTTAGATCTTACAGCATCAGTCTGAATTGCTGAACTAGATTATTCAACCCAGGCTGTCCAGTCCTGACACTGGGAGTTTGCCAAGAAACATGTGGCAATACCAGCAACTATCTTATGTATTTATGCCTCAAAGTGTATCAGAGGACAATCGGAAATTACGTAATTTACAAAGGTAGGTCAGGTCACTGCAAATTTCCTGTAGAATATATGCTACATGACTGTAATTACACACACACATATATCAATTAAGATACAATCACTGTATGGGTGGGTGTTTGTGGAGACGTTGGGGGTCAGCTTCTGCTTTTGGCTACCAACTTCCTTTATCAGAGTAGTTGGAGAACTGGCTACTGTTTCTGACCCAGTTGTCTGATAATGCATCCGGGAGGCACAGGACGACAGCCCGAGTACTTGGTTCCTGCCACCCATGTGGAAGAACAGAATGGAGCTGGGGGCTCCTGACCTTGACCTGGTCCCTCAGGCGACTGCAGGCATTTGAGGAGTCAACCAGCAAACGGAATGTATAACCCCCCACCCTTGGTTTCTCTCTCTGCCTTTCAAATAAATCAATCTAAAACAAAACAAAACAAAACAAAAATAATTAAAAGAAAACCCCACACAATCACTTGATTATTGTTATAGGTTTTGATTCACTTTACATTCATGTATGTAAGAAATCATATTATAAAAATTAACGTAAATTTGTATCCCTCATAATGCTGCTGGAATGCCTCATCTGAGTGCCAAATCCTCTGCCTCAAGTCCGTCTCCCTGCAGCTGGTCATGGCTAAGTGCTGCCTCTACAAGAGACCTGAATGCAGTTCTGGAAGCCTGACTCTGGCCTGTTCCAGCCTTGGATGTTGCAGGAACCTGGGGAGTAAACCAGTGGGTGGAAGATTTCTAGCCCTCTCTGTTATTCTTTCAAATAAACAAGTATTTTTAAAAAAGATTAAAAGTATTATCATTAATAACTCTATGCTGACAAATCTGGTCATCCGGATGAAATAAATTTCTTCAAACTGTCATGGATTTCCACACTAACAGAGTAACTTCACATCTTTGAAATAGGCACAGAAACTTTAGGACTTGTGACTTCAAAGGACCTTATTGCAGACTGCTATTCTAAAGCAGGGTTTTAGTAGAGGAGTGTTCAATGATATAGGAGTGTTTTAGTATAGGAGTGTTCAGTGATATATAAGATTATCATTTCTTAAATTACTGAAATATTTCATAGCTTTTCTGTACTAAGTCTTCAAAATCTGGTATACAGTTTAAACACCAAGCACAACCTTTTTTTTTTTTTTTTTTAAGATTTATTTGTTTTTATTTCAAAGGAAGAATCTGCAGAGGGGGAGGAGACAGGGATATCTTCCATCTAGTGGGTCTCTCCCCAAATGACAGCAATGGCTGAAGCTAGACCAGCAGCCTAGCCAGGGGTTTCTTCCAGGTCTCCCATGTGGGTACAGGGATCCAAGCACTTGGGCCATTTCCTGCTGCTTTCACAGGTCATAATCAAGGAACTAGATGTTACGTGGAGCAGCGAGGATATGAACAGGAACCCATATGGGATGCCAGTGCTTGCAGAAAGTTAGCCTGCTGTACCACAAGCTGGCTCCGATTCAGGTACATCTTAAGTAAAGGCACATTTCAAACACCTAGTAACACATGTAATTAATGGCTATAGTACCAGTAAAGTTTGAGGAGGAGAAAATAAACAGAAAGTATCTCCATAGCATATGTGTCAAAGCAGTGCACAGTGTTTGGAGTAAAAAGGTACTTTTATAAAAATAAACATCCATAGAGGTAAATACACGTGTCCAGGATGTCCCTTCAGAATCCATGCTGAAGGCCAACCTGCAATGTGCTGGGACGAAGAGGTGGGGCCCCGGGGCCAGTGCTGTGCTGTACATCTCATCCAGGGGAGCCACTGCAATCCCTGGCTGTTCTACTTCCCGTGCAGCCTCCTCTGATGGCCTGCCACAAGCAGGGAGGGTGGCCCAGGTGTCTGGGCCCTTGCCACCCCCGTGGAAAACCTGCAGGAAACTCTTGGCCCCAGTCGTGACCATCTCAGCAGTGAACTAGCTTATCGAAGATCTCTGTCTCTTTCTCTTTCCACAGTTCTACCTTAAAAAAAAAAAATCTTAAGAAAAAAGAAAAAGAAATGAGGCCTTTGGGTCACGAGCGCTCCTCTTTCATGAACAGGATGAATGCCTGGTGCCTGCGGACACGAAGAAGGCACCCTCTTTGGGGAGCGAACTCACTGCAGACAGTATCTGGGTTCTGAAGTGGGATTTAGAATTTCATGGGTTAGTTTTCCACACAGTTATTCTGGCAGGGTAATTTCATGCTTTATCATTAAATTTTTTCTCTAATGCTTTGTAAAGATAGGGGAAAAAAATCTTACAACAATTTGTTCATTTATTTCTCGCAATACAGATTTATCAGCATTGGGGATCAAACCTCCTCCTTCCTTCTCTTCCCTATGGGGAAAAAAACCCTTTAAAATAAAACCTTAAAAATAGTATTGACAAATATTATATGAAATCTGACTTAAGACCAACCACAACAAAGTTATAACTAAATAGACCAGCTTAAGAATATTTTAAATTTGCCTTTGAAATATATAAAACATTCAAATAATTTTATTTATTATATGATGACATGATGACTTCGATGGTCTACTCTAGGTTATAAAAGAAAGCTTATTCAGGGACTGGATTTGTGGTATCGACAGTAAATCTGCCGCCTGCCACACTGCCATCCTACATGCCAGTTTGTGCCTCAGCTGCTCCTCTTCCCAGCTCCTTGCTAACTGGTCTGGGAAAAGCAGAAGAGAATGGTCCAGATGTTGGGGAGTCACACACATAGGAGACCCACAGGAAGCTCTTAGTTCCTGGCTTTAGCAGGGCCCAGAACCAGCCACTGCCAGTCATCCGGGGAGTGAATCAGTGGATGGATGACCTTTCTCTCTCCCAAACTCTGACTTTGAAATGAATAAACAAATAAATACTTCCAAAGGCTTATTCAAAATATTCCTGTGTTGGTTGGTTGGTAATCACAGAAATGAAAGAACTAGTAAACCAGGGCTGAGACTGTGGTACAACAGGTTAAGTAATTGGCAGCGATGATGACATCACATAGTGGAGTGCCAGCCTGGGTCCTGGCCACTTCACTTATCCAGCTCCCTGCTAATGTGCCTGGGAAACAGCTGAGGATGGCCTAAGTACTTGGTCCTCTCCCACCTACAGGAGCATCCTGGATGCACTTTCTGGCTCCTGGCTTTGGCCTGGCTCAGCTGGCCCTGGCTAACTGAGTCATCTGTCGAGTAAATCTGAAGGATCATTTTCATGCTTTGTTTCCCCACGCCCACCTCTGTTACTCTGCATTTGAAACAAATGAATCTTAAAAAACAAACAAACAAACAAAAAACTCCCAAAATACCCAGTCAGCACGTTCAGATATAAGAAAAACAAGAAAAAGAGAACTTATTTATTTACATTATTTATCAACTTAACACAGAATGCACGGGAACATAAGTATTTCAAATTTCAGTGTGTTTTTGATTCTGGAATATTCATACAACTTAGCCAGCATCACTCATCTGAAAATTCCAAACTTTGAGTATCATGTGAGAGCTCTAAAACTAGGATTTGCATGCCAAGCATGTTCAGCAATTTTTAAAGCTCATTTTTTTTCTTTGCTGTACTTTGTGGTTGCTGATTACAGCAAAGAAATAGAGAGGGTCTGAAGTTATTTCTACTTCACATTTTATCTTTGTATATAACAAAGATTGATGGCAATTCCTCTTTGAAATTACTTTCTGTATTTGTGCAATAAAGATATCTTCATGAGATTAAGCCATCAATAAAAAGATCATAGAATTACAAGATAAGTGTAATTTTGGTGTAAAGCATTTTTAAATACATGCACAGTATTTTTATAATCCACATTTTCCATGAACTTTTGAAGCTCAATCTTCATGTTCAAGCTGCTCACTGATAGTATCTATCACACAAACAAAATATTCTGTAACATCATGTTATTTTTAATGGGGCAAAAAGTACCTAAATTTCCTGGTCAATCTGCTTACAAAAGCCATTTTCAGAATCTTTGATGAAGCTTTGTTCCCATGAGGGCTTTAGGACTTCCCAGCAACACAGCTGATTTAACTCACTACTGGTGAGTAAGTCAGCTTAACTTCTATAATTGTAAGACAACTGTTACCTCAAATCAAACATACTTTTTTCAAAGTTCATTATTTGATATAAACTGTATTTAACAAAACATGTCTTATACTTTCCCAAGAAAAGATTACCTGTATATTTGAATCTCCTTTTATACACTTCGCTCCTTCTATAATAGCCATATATGAGAATCTGAGTTGATCTGGTGTCTGAATAAGTCCCATTCTGTATTTTCTCATATTCAGTAACACTTGTTTAATGTTAATATCATCTCCTTTTTCCATCTGCAGGAAAGGGAAGCATAAATGCAGTCTTTAATCATTAGAGTCCAGCGGGAAAAGCAACACAAGGTCACTGCTGCGCATCTGCCTTTCACCGAGGACCGGGGAACTCCACCCATCCCAACGCACCATCGTTCTGACACCTCAGCTTCAAGCAGCAGGTGCAGGAATGCTGACCCTTCAGCTGGTTCACAATTGGTCTCAAAGTAATCACAGTAACTGAGTTTCCTTTGGCCAGTAGCCAGTCAAAGGAAGGAGTTATGACTAGTTTTGGTTAGTACAGAGGTAAAGCTGCTGTGATTAGTTCTTTTTGTTTGGCTGTGTGTTTGTTTCATTTTAAGGTCTTTTGCCCATAGCCCTTCTCTCTTCTTCTGGCACGGCCTGCACGTACCATGCCTGGAATACAGCAGTGATCTTACAAAAATGGAAAACAAAGAGAAAACCCATATTTCTTATCACACTGCTGTGCTACTACTCCAACTCCAGGCTACTGATCTGATCTCAGAAACCATCCCACAAGTGAACAGGAGGAAACTGTTTAAAATAATGACTGGCAGGGAACAGGTGCAAACACACAATCCAGCATTAACATTCAACATTAATACAAACACCAGGGTTTTTAAATAGGACAAAGTCCACTTTCATGAAGAAAAAAACCAAAACAATGTACTTATCTGAAAGAGAAGGAATTTGATATTATACATTCCTATGGTTGAACACAGAGTGGCAATGTATTACCCCTGGAATAAAAACAACCAGGAGAAAAAGGTCTTCCGGCAATCTCTAGAATCATCTTGGTCACACAGCCACTAGTCACAAGGAAGAAGCAGTTGGAGGGGTGGAAATGAGATTTGCAGATTTTTCCAAGAGAAAGCAGAAGTTAAAGTCCAAAAAGAAAAAAAAACACACCAGAGTTCTAGGATGTGACATCAGAGCTACACTTGCCAAAAGAAACAAAAGCAAACCAAGACTAAGAGGCTATCCCAAGGAGCACTTACCAGGACCAGACAGGTGTCCACCAGAGAGAAGGTGCCAGAGCGCCCAATGCCTGCACTACAGTGGATCACCGCAGGCCCGTGGTCAGGATTCAAGGAGCCAGATTCTCTCACTTTAAACAAGAAATTGAGAAATGAAGCTGGTGATTCAGGGACTCCAAAATCTGGCCAGGTAGTATAATGAAAGTGGGATATTGTTCTGGTTTCACCACTCTAAAAAGTGAAAATCAAGGGGAGGAGGAGTTAGTTCTAATCTTTTTTTTTTTCCTTAAAAAAAAAAAAAGCAAAAACAAAAAGCAGCTACTTCAGAAAGATCACGTGTTTTTTGAAATGCTTTTCATCCTTATGGACTGCCTGTACCACACTTTCCCTGCTTGGATTTGGTTATCTCCTTACAAACATTAGGGGAGATTTTCTTAAGGCAAATTTATAACATATTAATAGTCAACACATACACACACAGGGTTTTGGGGCTCTGTTCTAACTGCCCTTAGCTCAATCATTTTACAAATGAAGCAGCAGAGAAAAAATCTGAAGCAAGCAGCAATTTAATGCAGTTTGGTTCTTAACTACTAAAATGCATCAAATGAGCTACTGGCATTTTCTTCAATTTATGCATCATGATCAGTGTATTCCTTTTTTCCTGTTTTTAAACCCAAATAATTTTACAAACTCTTTCTCTCCCATTTTAAAAATACTAAACTTTATTATTTAAATATACTTTTCCTTTCATATGGTTTTGCTACACAGGCACGGAGGAGCAGTTCGATATGAAGGCTGCAATCTTTCCATTTTTAATGAAAACTGCCTCTCTGCTTGCCCCCTTTGCCCCTGATGGCAATTCCCAGCCTTGGAGGTGTTGTCATGCTTTCCTGATGTGCTGACTTGGTTTACCAACACAGTTTCCTGTCTCAGGTCTGCCAGGCAGGCCCTCACAGTCACTTCCTGGATTCCTAATGATCTTTCCTCCTGACACATTACGAAAATGTTTCTTATCTTTTTGTCAATTATCTTTTAACCCGAGACCTTCTTTTTTTTTTTTTTCCTGTAAACAATGCAGTGCTTTCCTAACGTATCTGCACAATTTTTCAGTTTTATTACAGAACTTTGTTGAAGCAAGGAAGCATTAAAATATCTTGGTATACTTTATGGTTAAAGGCTAAAGATTATTGTTGTAATATCCCACGCCCCTTAAAAATTTGAGATTAAGGACATAGTGTGACGGCTCAGGGGCTAAATCCTCACTTGGCACTCGCCAGGATTCCACTGGGGTGCCAGTTCATGTCCTGGCGCCTCCTACTTCCCTGCACTCACACGCAGACCTGGAAGAAGCTCCTGGCTTCAGATGGGTTCTGATCTGGCCACTGCACTTTGGGGAGTGAACGGGGGCACAGATCTTTCTCTCTGTATCTCTTCAATGTTGGCATTTCCTATGAGCAAGTCCTGATCCTGCTCTCTGCTAATGCATCTGGGAAGGCAGCAGAAGATGGTCCCCGTACTTAGGACCTTGCATCCATGTGGCAGGCCCAGAAGCAGCTCTGGTCTCCTGGCTTTGGATCAGTCCATTCCTGGCCTTTGCGGCCACAGTGAGTCAGGGGATGGAAGATCCTCCCTCTTTTTCTCTGTCTCCCCATCTCTGTAACTGACTTTCCTTTTTTCCCCCCCAAGATTTATTTATTTTTATTGGAAAGGCAGATATACAGAGAAAAGGACAGAGAGGAAGATCTTCCATCTGATGGTTCACTCCCCAAGTGACAGGAGCTGAGCCAAGCCAAAGCCAGGAGCCAGGAGCTCTTCCAGGTCTCCGACATGGGTGCAGAGTCCCAAGGCTCTGGACCATCCTTGACTGCTTTCCCAGGCCACAAGCAGGGAGGATGGGAAGCTGGGCTGCTGGGATTAGAACAGGCGCCCATATGGAATCCTGGTGCATTCAAGGCTAGAACTTTAACCACTATGCTATCGCGCCAGGCCCTGTAACTGACTTTCAAATGAACAAAATGAATCTTTTTTTTTTTAAGTCGTGTTTTAACATTTAGGTTTAGTAATTCCAAATATATCATGATACAAGTTAGCAACATATGAAAAACACATTAAAATTTCTCCATCACTAGTTAAAACCAATCATAACTTTCAGGGTTTGAAACATCCTCTTAAATTCCAAATTGGAGAAGCCAGACTCTGAAGGTTACACATACTGTATGACTCCATGTATATGACAACCTAGAAAAGGCAAAATTACAGGAACAGAAACAGGATCATCAGATGCCAGGGCCCAGGATGGGGAACAAAGCTGCCTGTACATAAGCATCCGCAAACAGTCTGGGGGGATGACGGAATCATTCTGATCCTTACGGTGGGTGGGGTTACACAAGTGAGTGTTACAAAAGACTTACAGCTCCAGTGCAAAAAGTCAATCCCTCCGTAAGACTTGAAAACACGCCAAAACATAGGCTGTGGTTTGACAAGCTGTGGGTGAACAATCAACAGGTAATACCCACACAGGAATGGGCTAAAGAAGCTGCTCCATGGTTAGCCTAACTGTAACTCTAGGACATGTTTTCATTTAATCAGCTGTTAAGACTGCAGCACATGCTTTGATCTCTATCTTTCCCTTCACTGCTGTTAAGCAGTGCTGATTCTGCCCAGCAGTGTTGGTAGGTCCATCTGAGCCTTACCAGGCCCAGTGTGACCACGGTGAACAACCAGGGCACGGCAGGCTGTGCTCAGGCGATCCTGTTACGAGATGCCCAATTATTATATGATGGCGTGGCGTTACCTCGTAATCTCATGCACTGCTGGCATTTTTTTTTTTTTGCTTAACATTAGTGATGTCTTTTTTTCAAATTCAGGTCATGCCTGCGATTCTCAGTTAGTTCCTAGAAGCACTCTTAATTGTACCTTAAGTCATCTCCACTAACTGATTTTTGAAAGTCAGTATTTTGCTTCCTCTAGGGAGCCAGAAGGATTTCTGCTCTTCCTTCTCCTCGGTCCTTCGCTAACGCCCAGTCAGTCCCACTTGCTTCCTGGCTGCTTCACCTCATTACACAAACACTCGGGGGCATCCTCCGTGACATGGCGTCGCCACCCTCATGTGCGACCATACCACACATGCCTTGCATTTTCTTCACAAGATTTTGCAGTATACATACCACATTCTGGACAAAAATGTCTGGGGCTTGCTGCTCTTTCTAAGAAGAGATTCCACTTATACTTTTTTTAAAGGAGAATTCTAAATCTAGAGTCTTTGAATAAAGATGTAAAGTTTGCTATATAAGGAGGCCAGGAAGATAATCTGTGAGATGAGGAAAACGAGGGAGCTGTGAGGTCTGTGGCAATGTAAGAATAGGTTCTGTCCAAAGTAATTCAAATTCAAACTAATTATTCTAAGTACATATTAACATTGCACATGTTTTACCTGTAATAATCTAATTGATATAAAATATGGAAGTCATTTTTTAAATGAGCTATATAAAAAATCTACCGGCACTGAAGCTGTGGTTTAGCACATTAACCCACTACCTGTAGTGCTGGCATCTCATATGGGCACTGGCTCAAGTCGTAGCTGCTTCACGCCACTTTCAGCTCCTAGGTGCAGCAGACGGCCCAAGGGCTTGGTCCCCAGCACCCACTGGGAGATCTGGAAGAAGTTCTAGGCTTCTGGCTTTGGCCTGACCCAGCTCCTAGCTGTTACAGGCATGTGGAGGAGTGAACCATCAGACAGAAGCGCTCTGTGTGTGTGTGTTAACTCTATATAGGTATATATAGATACAGATATATATTCATACACACACACACACACACACACACACACAAAGGCATCAAGATTTTATTGCTAAAAGACTTTCACCAAGTTCCAGTTCTGTCATCTGTGAATGGAGGTAAACAACAGTTCTCACCTCATAAGCCAGGTGTGAGGAACAAATGAAATGGATGTGAAGGACCCGCCCTGTGCCAGCACGTGGTAGATGCCTGGCACTGGCCACCTGTAAACAACTGAACTCACAATCGCCTTTGGCACAGGTCCCATAAAGTGATACTCCATTATAAAAATGGTCTCATTTCAATCTGCTCAAAAGCAACTCTATTTACCAACTTCATTGCCACAAGATGTGAAATCTGTACCTTCCCTGTCACTGTCTTGGTTCACTCTGTCCCTCGTGAATGTCTGCCAGGATCGTATGACATCCCTGTTACTACATGCTGACTGCCACTCACTGTGAAAGATGGAGTAACAGGAAGAGCTAGGGACAGGTTTGCAGCGCAGGCAGAGAGAAAAGGCAACTCGCAGAGACGCGGGGTCCTCTTAGCAGGACAAACCCTGGTGCCTGCACGAGATGTGGGCCTGGTGCCTGGCCCAGGAAGGCCAGGACTGAGTTGGCCCGAGTCACAGACTTCTGTATGGCACCTGCAACTAAATAATGGGAGCCACAGAAAGGTTTTTGTGCCACGCCTGTTTGAGATCCATCACTGAGCTACAGTATTCTTAACAGTGTACTTGGTGTGATGGCAGACGGCAGTGTGAAGATGATTCTATACACAGGAAATTAAAAACCTTAATCAGAGTACACACACACACACACAGAGTACTGAACAAGTCAACAAAACGGCAAAATTTAAGTTACAGAAAGAAGTGAAAGCAGACTCGTGGCGTTAGAAATGAGTACTGCATAGCTGTGTTAGGAAGGACTTCAGTAGGAAATGGGCCAAGGCTGGGTGCTGTGGCACAGGTATCCTATAACAGCTGCTGTTCGAGTTCTGGCTGCCTACTTCTGATCCAGCTCCCTGCTTATGTGCCTAGAGAAGCAAAAGACAACCCGAGTGCTTGCCAACACCCATTCCCCCAGCCAACACCACCATCACCCACATGGGGGACCAGGACGGAGTTCAGTTCTCTGGTTTCTATCTGGCCCAACCCTATCTGCTGTGGTCATCAGGGAAGTGGATCATGGAAGAACTCTTTCTCTTTGTCTCGCCCACTATTTCTGTAACTCTGCCTTTAAAATAAAGTAAGTTTTAAACAGAGAGGAATGGGCTACAAGAGGGTTCAGATGGATGTGTGGAATATACACAAGCAGAGGAGTCATGAGCCCATTCTAGGTGGCATGAGTGGCTTAAACCATTCTGAATCAAATCCCAGCTGAGAATCATAATAATTACACATTCATCCTGTTTTGGGTAAATCTACAGAGACAGAGAAATAGAAGTCAGTCAGCATTATAATAGTGTTCCCGGAACTTGATAAACATAAAGCCAGCCAAGAACATTACGGAAAATAGTGAAGGACAACGAAAAAGAAAAATCTGAATGACAAATAAGCATTCTAGATGACCTCACATTTAAAGAGCCCTACACACTGTCTCCATAGCTCATGCCGGCAGCCACTTTGAAAGAAGAGATGGAATCTCTCCATTCAAGACAAAAGTTCAAACTTGTAAGTGTAAGAAAAACACTGTCAGGGGCTCTTGGCTTACTTCTGCTCCAGGGGATGGAAGCCCTTCTCGAGGAACAGGGTCTGCTTACACTTACACAACACCTTTAAGTCAGTCTCCACTGGAAGGAAACTGTTCCAGGTACCTTGAAAAACATCTGCACACACAGGCTGCCTACTGGTTCCCTACTTGAGCGTCATTTGCTCCCACTTCCTGTTCTTTCCTCCAAATGGCCCTGGCTTCTGAGGCCACTCCCAATTCATTACTGTTGGAAAAGAGCACAGATAAATGGACAGAGGCTAGTAATTGTGGCTCCTGAGTCAGCTGGCTTGGACCCTTAAATTAACCCAATGAGACGCACACATAACTATTTTCACTTCATAAGATTTTAAAGATTCATTTATTTTTATTGGTTCACTCCCCAAATGGCCACGATGGCTGGAGCTGAGCCAACCTGAAGCCAGGAGCCTCCTCTGGATCTCAAACACAGGTACAGGGTCCCAAGGCGTTGGGCCATCCTCTACTGCTTTCATAGGCCACAAGCAGGGAGCTGGATGAGAAGTGGAGCAGCTGGGACCTGAATCAGTGCCCATATGAAATCCCAGTGTGTGCAAGGTGAGGATTTAGCCATTAAGCCATGACACCGGCCCATAAGATTCTAGAAAATGAGAAACTGAGTCAAAGGAGTGCAGTAACAAGACTCAGGTCACTCAGTTAGTTCTGACAGAATCGGGATTTAAATCCAGGCAATCTGGTTCCTTCACCAAGTACAATTCTGCTTTTCCCTTCCTAGTACTAACCAGGCCCGACCCTGCTTGGCTTTTGAGATCAGACGGAACTGGGCACATTCAGGGTGGTGTGGTTGGAGACAGTTCTGCCTCAAACTGAAATAATTCTCTTTTCTTTAGAGGATTCTTTGTTCCTTATAACAGTTTTGCTTCTTACTAAATATTGGTAAAATAGAGCATAAAAAAACTGTCATTTTAGTATGTTAAATTCCAAATGCAGGCCAAAAAGAAACCCAGCAATCATTTCATGATAGCACATGGTTGCTAGCAATAATGGTGGACCAATGTGCATGTGGCCTTAACCTTAGAAAGATCTCAGAATTGGGGATCTTCCTTGAAAAGAAAAGATAACTTTTTAAAAAGATTTATCCCCATTTCAGAAGTTAGGAGACATGCTTTTGACTTCAGTCTGTCACTTAATTAGCTGAAATACCTATGGGGGAAAAAAGCCCTATAACCTAAGGGATTTACAATTTTTTCTTAACAAAAAGAAATAAAGGGATAATAACAGTATGCGTCTACATTACAGAATACTGTAGGTAAAATGATATGCAAAAACTTTTTGTATGCAACCTGATAAATAAAGTATGAAAGCCATCCTGCTTATTATTTGAGGTATAATCAATTCTCAATTCGGAATGTTTCAGAAACAGGAAACCAGCTATGCCCTTCACATAAATCAGTTTAGATTAGATGAGATACCTGGGATAAATCCCAAGAGAAGATAGAGACCTGGGAGAAGCTTTGGAAAGAGCACTGACCCAATCCAGCAGCAAATCCTTGCTGACGTATCTCAGTGCAGTTCATGACATACATAAGTGGAAGAGATCACACGCGTGGAGCAGAGATGGGGTTTTGTACATAAATACAAGCATTATGATTCCTAACCTCGAGCCTTTCTTTGGTGATCCGAGAGATCACATAATAAGCTCATTTATGGATGCCCTGGGAACCACCCTGGGCCTTCTGCACGTAGCATGTATCCGGAAATACTCTGTGCAGTCGTAGGTCAAAGTTAAAAGGCACTTTCACACCTCTGAAGTGTGTGTGTGTGTGTGTGCATATAAAAATGCAAGTCCTCCTCTCTTCTGCTGCTTTGCTAAAATCACATGTGAATTTCTGTCTTGGTGACCACCTAATTCTCTAATGCTGAACTAAAACAGTGTTTCATTTCAGAGACTAGACACACAGCTGAAATTATTTTTTGTTCAAATATTTTCCTGTTTTCTAGTTCACCACGTTTCTATTAGCATCATAGCTTTGCTCTGTATTTTCTAACTAATTATTGATTACAGAACAAAACAGGCAAAAATGCAAATATGAAAGGTGGGGGTGGGGAGTGCCTTGATCCCCAACTTGGCACCAGCAAGTTTACCATCTGCCATGTGTATGGGTTCAAACCAAGAAACAAAATCCAACTCATCCATTTTATGGGAACGGAAAATTCTTGAGACTACATTTCATCATGTTTTCCAAATCAACAAGGACCCTGTGTGTTGAACCGTAGAAGTTAGTTCCAGGAGTCTCTTCTAAGGGAGGTGCTCCGCATGTCCACTGGCCCACCGCTGGCCCTCCGCAGGCCCACCGCAGACCCACCGCAGGCCCACCGCAGGCCCACCGCAGGCCCTCCGCAGGCCCACCGCAGGCCCACCGCAGGCCCTCCGCAGGCCCACAGCAGGCCCTCCGCAGGCCCAGGAAGGCAGGTGTTGCTCGCCCCAACTCTACCAGTGAAGAAAAGCTCCAGGAGGGTAGGGAGCAAGTCAGCACACCTCTGCTGGAACAGGGCTGAGAGCTGAGCGCTGAGCCTAGCTTTCCTGACTTTAACACCTCAATCCTCAAATATCCAGCTGAACTTCATGGTTCCCAAGGTATCTTAAGAGGGCTCAGAGAGCTACGACATCCAGGAACACAGTCTAAGAAGTCATGACTAGACACTATCGTAGATACCACCCAGATCCGTGTGCTGCAACACACTTCAAACCAAATACAAAGAATAATTGTTTAAACTATCGTAAAAATTTCGATTTTGGGGGCCAGAAAAGTCTTACATTGATATTTTCTAATTGCAGCAGATGTACTGTGTAATACGACTTCACATCTTCCGACAAGAGCTTCACACTGAATCCTGTTTCTTTAAACAGCATCTCTCGGTCATCTGTGGGCCAGTACTGTGCACATTTAACCTAAATTCAAAAATATGTATTTTCTTTCAGTTTACAGATATTGTGAAATCATAACAAAATTTAAATTCACACATAACATGTTATGCTTTTTTAAATACTAAAAACTAAGAACAGTAATCCTATAGTCAATATTTACTACATTTTAATAATATTAACACTTCATATTCTTATAAGTGACAAAGAAATTGAAGGTACTAGATACTGTGTTCATAAAATAAAAAGGAACCTGACATTTCAAAGAATGATAATCTATACTTTAATATCGAATAACATGTATTTTATGTCTAAAACAATCAAACTCTCGCCACAATCTCATCCCCAAATAGTTCTGAAAATGCTTTGTTTTAGAAGTACATTTCCACAAATACCCATGACTCCATTATTAAACTCCTAAAAACAACATTGCGTATTTACCGAAAATACAATGGGGGAAAAACAGAAATCTGATCTTCAACTGACTGCTATGCAGGTGAAGTATCCCACTCCAAAACCAGAAATGTTCTGAATTTTTTTTTAAGAACAGAAAACCAGGATTTATTGAAAGGCAACAAGATAGCGCACACACAGGTAGGAGTATAATTTTAGACACTTGCCAAATGGCTGACTTTTTTTTAAGACTATTTATTTATACACAATAAGATATTCTGGGAAATGTTGGGACTCAAATTTAAATACAAAATCTATTTTTTGTTTCATATATGCTTTATAACCTGAAAGCATTTTTATACATTTTTTTAAAAGATTTACTTTATCTTTATTGCAAAGTCAGATAGAGAGAGAGGAGAGAGAGAGGAAGATCTTCCATCCGTTGATTCACTCCCTAAGCAGCCGCAATGGTTCGAGCTGAGCCGATCCAAAGCCAGGAGCCTGAAGCCTCTTCGGGATCTCCCACATGAATGCAGGATCCCAAGGCCTGGCCTATCCTCGATTGCTTTCCCAGGTCACAGGCAGGGAGCTGGATGGGAAGTGGGGCTGCTGAAATTAGAACCAGCACAAATATGGGATCCTGGCACATGCAAAGCAAGAACTTCAGCCACTAGGCTATCGTGTTGGGCTGGCATATTTACACATTTTTCGTGCTCGGGTTTTTAAAATTTATTTTTTATGATTTACTTATTTATTGGAAAGGCAGAGCATGAGGGGGAGAGACGGAGGGAGAGGAGGAGAGGGAGAAGAGTGAGGAGGAGAAGTGGAAGGGAAATATTCCATCTATTGCTTCACTCTCCAAATGCCTGTGGGTAATAGAGGCCAAGTATTCCAGGTACATAGCAGCAAGTTGGAAAAAATGGAGTGGTTGGGACTTGAAACAACTTTGCCAGCATTGGAAGAGGCAGCTTAATTTGCTGAGCCTCAACGTTGATCAGGCGTGCCTGCATTTTGACTGCAAACTATCATATTACAGCAGGTGTGCCAATTTTCCACTGGCAGAATCAGGCCAGCACACACACACACACACACACACAAAATTCTGGGTTGAGGCAAGTGTTTCACACTGCAGTGAGAGAGGCTTACTTGGGACCGCCCACCCTGTATCAGTGCCTGGCGTGGAGTCTCAGTTCCCATTTCCTGTCAACGCACTCCCTGCGAGGCCGCACGTGACGGCTGCAGGATGTGGGTCTCTGACATCCATCAGAGAAACGGAATGAGCTCCTGGTTCCAGCCTCGGCCTGGCCCAGCTCAGACTGCCAGTATTGAGGGGACGAACCAGTAGATAGAAGTACAAGACCTTTCTGAAGTAGAAGTCTCTTCGTGGCTTTAAAAAAAAAATCAGGAGCCAAAGCTCTGGCGTAGCAGGCAAAGCCTGTGAGTCAGCACCCCCTAGCAGGCTGCTCCACTTCGGATCCAGCTCCCTGCTGAGGCACCTGTGAGTCGGCACCCCCTATCGGGCTGCTCCACTTTGGATCCAGCTCCCTGCTGAGGCACCTGTGAGTCAGCACCCCCTAGCAGGCTGCTCCACTTCAGATCCAGCTCCCTGCTGAGGTGTCTAGGAAAGCAGCAGCAGATGACCCAAGTCCTAGGACCCTTGCCCCCCACTTGTGAGACATGGAAGAACTCCTAACCCTTGGCTTCAGAAATGCACTGCTCCTGAAACTGTAGCCACCTGGAGAGTAAACCAGTAGAGAGAAAATTCTCTCTCCCTTTCTATCTCTTTCTGTAACTCTGCCTTTCCAAGTGAAAATAAAGCTTTTTCTCCCCCCCAAAGCCTTATTTTCACTTGAAAGGCAGAGTTACAAAGAGAGAGGGAGAGACAAGAAGAGGTCTTCCATCCACTGGTTCAACCCCCAATGACCTCAACAGCCAGAGCTCAACAGATCCAAAACCAGGAGCCAGGAGCTTCTTCTGGGTCTTCTACGGGTGCTGGGTCCCAAGGACCTGGGCCGTCCTTCACTGCTTTCCCACACCATAAGCAGGGAGCTGGATCAGAAACAGAGCAGCTAGGACATGAACCGGCACCCATATGGGATCCTGGCACCACAGATCAGAGGATTAGCCTGCAGCACCACCATGTCAGCCCCATCAAATAAATAAAGCTTTTAAAGTCCAGATCCTGAAGCACTTCAGATTTTGTCCTTTTTTGCATTAGGGAATACTGACTGTATCTGTCACAAAGACCAGTACAGAATCCAAATTTTTTACAATAAAATCAGCTTCCAAAAAGTCAACTTATGAAGCAATCAGACAAGGTTAAAAAAAAAAAAAAGAAAAAACAAAGGCAAAGTAAATTAGACTCATCTTATGAAGAAATAATACCATAAAAACATTTTTTAGAAAAACAGTCATTTCTGGGCCCGGCACGGTGGCGCAAGTGGTTAAGGTCCTCACCTTGCACGCCCGGGATCCCATATGGGCGCCGGTTCTAATCCTGGCAGCCCCACTTCCCTTCCAACTCCCTGCCTGTGGCCTGGGAAAGCAGTCGAGGACGGCCCAAAGCTTTGGGACCCTGCACCCGCGTGGGAGACCCGGAAGAGGCTCCTGGCTTTGGATCGGCATAGCACCGGCCCGTTGCGCTCAGTTGGGGAGTGAATCATCGGAGGGAAGATCTTCCTCTCTGTCTCTCCTCTCTGTATATCCGCCTTTCCAATAAAAAAATAATAATAACAAAAATAAATCTTTTTTTAAAAAACCAGTCATTTCTAATTTTCCTCTAACTCCTATAAAAATCAAAAATGTCCCCAAACAAATACTATGAACTAACACCTCAAAAGCTGGCAAAAGACATTTGAAAAATTATTTTTATTTTTACTTGATAAGTAGAGTAAGGGAGAGGGCAAGGGAGGAAGGAGGAGAGAGAAAAAAGAAAAGAGGAGAAAAGGAAGTGTTCAAAGATTTATTGAATTCTCTGAAAGGGAGAAGAACTAGAAAGAGAGAGAGAGAGGATAAGACAAAGACAGAGACACAGACTGATTTTCCAGCTGCGGTTCACTCTCTAACAGCTGCAATGGGCAGAGCTGGGCTGGCACAAACCAGGACCAAGGACCTGAGCCAGCCTCTGCTCCTTTCTCAGGCCACTAGCAGGGAGCCGGATCAGAAGTGGAGCAGCTGCGACACACACCAGTGCCCATATGGGATGCCAAGACTGCAAACTCAAGCTGAGTTTACTATGTCAACAGTAATAGCCTGTGTGTGTGTGTCCCAGTGCATTCTATTTATCCTATAAGAAAATATATTTTAATCAACATCATTGCATTCTACTTCCAAGACAAAATCTGAGAACAGTAAAAGTAAGATACCTATTCTGACTACAGCAGAAGTCTAGCAGTAAGGTTCTCTGGGTAAATGTGTAATAGTCTGATCTCCTGATGTTTATTTAACACGCCTTTCAGGGAAACAACTGGAAAATTGTTTAGACAAACTCTGACCTTAAATCTTTACTGGCTGCAGGACGCGTTTTCACTAACTGACAACGAGAAAATTTACATATGGGACACAACATCTCACTTCTTACACTTCAGTAGAAATCAAAAATCACAGTGGCAAGTCTAATTCAGTTCCAAACTACTGAAAGCTACCAACCTACTAAATACATCTGCTAGTCCCCGCTATTTCACTTCTACCCCCACTCCCTGCCAACAGGCCAGGGGAGGAAGTAGATGCTGCTACAGCCCTGCTGCCAGCAGAGCACCCTGTCAAATATTCTCTAAACAATTCAAAACACAGGGAAAAATGAAACACAGATGTTGGGTGCTTTAAAGGGACATCATACATTTACTTTTATTGATAACTAATGTCAAATTGATATCATTTCAAAGTAGCTTATTACAGCCAACGCTCATGGTAACCACAAAGCAAGAACAGATTACCAAAATAAAGCAAGAAATCAAAGCATATCACTACAGAAAAATTGGTTAACCACAAATGAAGATTATAAGAGAGGAAGAAAAGAAAGGAACCACAGTAAAAAATAAAAAACAAATATTAAGCTAGCTGTACTAAAATCTTGCCTATCAAAAACCACCTGAAATGCCAATGGGCTAAATTCTCCAATTAAAAAAATACAGAATGACCAAACATATTTTAAAAAAACCAGGACCCAACTATGTGCTGCTTACAAGAACTCACTTCACCTCTGAGGACACAAGGACTGAACAACAAAGGATGAAGCAAGGTAAACCGCACAAACACGGAAGCAAAAAGAAGAAAGGAACAGCCACACTTCAAACATTTTAAATCAAAAGTGCGAACCAGGAGTGTCATTATAATGACAAAAATCTCAATCCAGCAAGTGGAAATAATATATAAACACAAAATTTAAATATTAAAACTTAAAGGGATAGACAGATTCCAATAGGAGGGGACTCATATTACTGAACTTTGAGACACAGAAAATTAACAAAGAAACAAAGAGTTGAAATGTATCCTCCATCAAATGGACACAACAGATCAACAGAACTTCCCATCACACAGCTACTCTTCTAGAGGCACATGGAACAATTTCCAGTACAGCTCACATGGTAAGCTACAAAACAAACCTGAGAACATTTTTAATAATCAAAATTATATTCCCTAGTTATAGGCAACTGCGTAGGTTGTCATATTCCGATGAAAACTGCTACATTGCTCGGAGAACAGTAGCCAATAGCTGGCAGGCAATCTGGGCCTGATAAATGCCAAATTTGTGTTAACTATATTAGTATGCCAGCATAGTTGCTTATTATTATTATTATTATTATTATTATTATTATTATTATCATCATTATTTTAAAGATAAGTGGGGAAGGTAGAGAACTCTGGCCAGGACATGCCATCCCAGACCCCAGTCCAGGGGTGCTGCAGATTTTCCAGGGAAGGAATGGAGCAACTGAAGGCATGTTTGCCAGAAAAAGAATGAGTTTTAGGGGCTTGCATGGACCCATTCACTGTACTCGCAGGTAGGTGAGGGAACTGAGTGGTTAAGAGGTGGGGAACCAGAAGGCTAGATTTCGTCAGGCCAAGGCACCCACCCACATAGGAGACCTGGGCTGACTAAATAGTATCACCCACCACCCACTGGTGCTCACAAAAGCTGGGGCTAGAGGAGCATGCACTGCTTTGCCCCAGAGCCACGCAGCCAGGAGGTGTCATCAGACTGCTACGGATCATCTCCAAGCAGCCACACAGCCTTGATCCCACCATCTTTCTGGATGTCCACAGGACAAAGTTGTGAGGAGTCAGAAACTTTGATAACTTTGGTAAGCTGATGCAGGGGCCTACTGCAAAAATCCCTTCCCCAGTGCCAGAATATCAACCCGTGGACTGCGAGAATTTTGACATTGCTATTCTATAAAGCCAAGCATCACAGAGGGATGAGGACACTGCCCTCTAAATGGAGAAAAAGGCAGGCCAAGCTTAGACACCTGTTAACACACAGACATTCTCGGCTTGAAAGACAGCACTGAGGCAGCAACCTTAATGGAGTTTAGGGTGAATCGAGTGAGCCGTTCCGACGTGGCTGCAATTACTGCCTCTACCCTGAATGGTATCCTTCGGAAACAGTTGGCTTAGGCATAATCCTTATTTACTATTCTTAACAGTGATTATATGTGGTACACAAACAATTCTATGCTAAGATTCCTCTGCTCTCCCTCCCCATTTCTGAGTAGCATAGGGCCTTATAAGTATATTAGGTTTTACAATTCTTTGATGTAGATCAGAAGCAGTCTGACTCATATCAATTGTTGATTCATTGGTTACTTCACAATATCTTATTGCATGAGATACAGACTGTTTGGGGTTGAAATAATATTACTGTTTTTCGGATTGACATCATTTCATAACAGCCAGAGCAGAGAAATCTTACATCACCCTAGAAGGTGTGAGGAAGACGGGAAGTATAACCTATCAGGATCATAACTGGTAACTCATAGACAACAGACTCAAATCAGATTAGACAACAGCAAAACTACAAAGGCATATAGGGGGAATCAGGAGCAATGCCAACAACCTCTTAACAGGAGGTCATATGCACAGAGCAGGGGGGACCCCAGAGTGGAACAGGGGACAGGAGGAGGCTTGTACCCTGAAGACTCCTAGATCCTCACCAAGGACTATCAGTACGAGCTCCGAGGACTACATCCCAACTGCCAAGGAGACCATGAAGAATTGGAGTGCCTTCGGAGGCCAAGAACTCTGAGGTCACCCACCTCCATTTGGATCTCCCACATGGGATGGAAGAAGTCCAAATCCTGCCTTGCAGGATCCAAGGTCATTGGAATGACAACCAGGAGCACTGTGCGGTCCGCAGAAACAGAACAGTAAACTTCCTTCGGGAATAGGGAGAGGAGCTTTCTCTGGTTCTTGCCTGGTGCCAACTTTGGGTCCCCACCCTCTCTTGTAATGACCATCAGGATCATTCCAGAAACCCCTCAAAACAAACAAACAAAACTAGAATAGACAGACAGAGAACAGCAAGGAAAGCTTAGAATCAGACAGGAAACTGGCAGTGGGGATGCACTTATAACTCACTGGGTGGGACACAAAGATTAGTTACTCCTCACTAGGATTTCTCTGCACACCCCTCCTAAAATTGTTCACCTAAACTGTTGACATATGTCTTGTTAGAGTTATAGAGTTAGACTACCCGAGAAACAGCCAGGTTCTGCAAAATCATGCTTCAGCGCTATGAACTGCTAAATACTAAAATTAAAATAGACATGAGGCAGCTGAATAGTAATCTGTAGCCATTTTAAGGTGTATAGAACCCAGTTGTATATAAACTAATAATTGTAATGTCAATGTAGAAGTCACAGGATGTGGTTCAGAACTTGCACTCTTTTTTTTTTTTTTCTCTCTCTTTTAACATGTTGGTTACTCAATACCATGTCAACTAATTCCATTACGTTATAAATTGTTACTGATGTTATGTCGGGGCTTTTAATTGATTGGGATGATACTCTGCCGGCTCTACCTTCAGACCAGAGATGGTCTCCCCATGAAACTGTTGAACTTATCTGGACAATAAGATGCTGGACTCTATGCTTGGTAGATGCTTGCAATGAAAGAATCTCAACGGAATTTGAACTGTGGTAATGCAACAAGGTGGAGGAATCCACCATGGGGGGAGCCGGGTTTTGGAGAGGGGAGGGGGGAATCCCAGTGCCTATAAAACTGTGTCACATAATGCAACACAATCAATAAAAAAATAATAATAATAATAAAAACAATTCTATGCTAAGGCAGACAATCATTTTGATAATGTCTGAAATTAGCTGTGTTCTTTTTCTCTTTCGACCTCACACCAGTGATTTATGGAGTCAATAGTTGGAATGATTTCTGATACACTTTAGTTATCAGAGAAGAAACACCAGTGAGTTCCTCAAGTATTCCCATGTTTTAGAAGACTAAGGCCAATGAGATGAAGATCTGTGCACTGAGAAATCTTGGGCACAGTAAGTTGTGGGAAAGGAATATTATGAAAACACCGAATATTTTGTCTGGTACGTAATTTGGGAGAACAGATACTCTAGTTTTCAAATGTTTAAATTGTAACAAAAGGAAATTTCGATGTGCTGTTTCAAAAACAAAAGAACATAAGCTATGACTGACAATACAAAAACGGAGATTACTGAATAATGGCAATAAATTTGCAAAACTCAAAGAAATTAACAAATTCCTGCACACATGCACCTTATCAAAACTGAATCATGAGGGAATAGAATGCCTAGACAGACAACTAATGAATGGGGAAGTTGAATCAAATAATGATTTAGTCCACAGTCAAATGACTTCATGGCCGAATTAAACAACAAAGTTTAACAAAGAATCAACACCCATCTTTAAATTTTTTCAAAATGGCAACAGGAAGCAATACTTCCAAATTTGTTATATGAGGCCAGGACCACTTTGATACCAAAACCAGACATGGATGCATCAAAATCAAAAAGCTACAGGTCAATTTCCTTGATGAATACAGACTAAAGATCCTCATCAAAATACTAGCAAACTAAAACTGACAGAGCATCAGAAAAAAGTAAGAATTAGTAAAACAGTACAAGATCTTTTTGAAAAGACCAACTGATTCATTTGAAAGTCAGAGAGAGGCAGGGGAGACAGAGCTATCTTCCGTCTGCTGGTTTATTTCCCTGATGACTGCAAATGCTCGTCGGGCCAGGCCAAAGCCAGGAGCCGGGAGCTCCACTTGTGTCTCGCATGTGGGTAATAGGGGCCCAAATTCTTGGGCTAGCCTCTGATACTCTTCCCAACCCTTTAACAGGGAGCTGGATTGGAAGTGGAGCAGCCGGGACATAAACTGGAATTTACATTTTCAGAATGTTGGTAGTAAGTGACAGAGATCCTGAAAAAGTCTAGGAATTCCATGGATCTCTGAAAATACTAGCAGGTGGTATTTACTGTTTTTTTATTTACATTCTGGAGACTAAGGTGCAAAATAGAAACAACATATTAATTCTTTTGCTGACTAGTTTTAGCAAGTCAACAAAACAAACACGTATCTCCCCCAAAATGGCATCTTTATGAACTTTTATGAACTAATGGTTCTATTCAGAACACTAAATTGTAAATAGTCAATATTACTCACCGATTCTTTCTCTACAGTTCGGTTCAGCATTACAACTGCTTTGGTCTTTTGCTGCCAAACCATGAGCCAGAAGTGACAACATGTATTAGGAAGTGGACCCTGGAAGAGCAGAGCAGAGAACAGATTTTTGATCATGGTTATAAAGGATCAATATTGACTTTACAAGAGGTCTTCAAAAAAATTCATAAAAAATTTGTTACGAAAAACGGTACATGGATTTAAAAACTTTTGTATCAAAAAGAAACAACTGCCACTTCATTTCTCATGAACTTTAAAAAAAAATAACTTTTTCTTCCATTTGAAAGAAAGACAGATCATCTTCCACCCACTTGTTCACTCTCCAAATACCCACACAACCAGAACTGGGCCAGACCACGGCAGTAACAGGCAGCTCAGTCTGTGTGGGTGGCTGGCTCTCAAGTATCTGAGCCATGCCTAGCTGGCTCCTAAGGAGTACAGGAGCAGAAAGTTGGCTCAGAAGTGGAGTGACCAGGACTCAAACCACTTGAATACACAATGGTGGTAACTTAACTGCTGCATAAATCCTGCCCTTGCATGAATTTTTTTCATTAAAGATCATTTTTTTTTATTTAAAGATACAAGAGACGGAAAAAGAGAAATTTTGTCCACTGGTTCACTCCCTAAAAGGTAACAATGACCAAGACTGGCTGAAGAGCTTCTTCTGGATCTTGATGTGTCTGATAGGGGCCTAAGCATTTGGACCATCTACCACTGCTTTCCTGGGGGCATTAGCAGGGAGCTGAATCAGAAGCTGAGCAGCAGGGACATAAGCCAGTGCCCATGTGGGATGCTGGCATCACAGACAATACTGGCCCCGCCTCCATGAACTTTAAAAAAGCACCCCTGTAATTACTTTAGCAAAAAAAAAAAAAAAAAAAAGAAAGAAAGAAAGAAAGTAATAAATAAATAAATAAATAAATAAAATAAAATAAAATAAAATAAAATATCTAGGACATAAGGTAGCTTTTAGAGCTGGGGGATGGAGACCCAACTAGGCTTGTGTGAAAACTGAAAGTTACCGCAGAGGCAAGCTTCTGCTCCAAAGAGTCAACGCCAGACAACTCCAGACACCGTCACACCTAATACTGTTACTACTCTCACCATGCTTTTGCAGCAAATGACAAGGAAACCAGAGGCAAATCACCAGTGGGAGATACCTGCTGAGTCATGTTCTACATGCCAAGGAAACTTTGTGCCTCCTGCAGAGTCTACAGCACAAAGGCCTTGCTTCCCACAGATCATGCAAGTTCCATGGGAAAGGAGGAAGTTGGGGCAAGTCAAATAGAGAACAAAGTTACAACTTAATTGTTCCTGTAAAGTTCATAGCGGCAGGGCCTGGTATTTAAGTCGCTTTCTTTGAACCCTGGCTGCCACAGGGCAGGGTTATAGTAAATCTTGCAATAAGAAACCAGTTGTAAGTGTTGGCAGCAGAGCCTGACTTCTTTGGGTTACAAGTGATGAAAGTCGTGGTCCCCGAGAGCTCACATATAGATTGGAAGGGCAGGAAGAGGGAAAGCCAAATGAAAATCTAAAGACCCATATTCTTAAGGATTAAAAAGAGAAGGAACAATCAATGATGATATTGAAATGATGGGCAAATAAAGAGCTGTAACAAGAGATCTAGGGAAGCCCTTCCTTTCCATTTAGTAGCATAGTTACTTTGAAAAGAAAGTAAAATTTTGAACTCTAGTTCAATTTTTAAAATGTCATTAACATAAATGAGAAAAATTTCAAATATTACAGAGGCAAAAGTGGCAAATTAAAATCCTTATTTGCAAGCCTTAGGAAAAGCCACTATACATGCCAGGCGTCATTGGGATATAGCATCATTTGTGGAACATACAAAATTATCAAATTAAAAATTAGCCTGTTATAGATGTCTTAAATGTCAAGTCCTGCCATGAGTTGCACTGGCAGGGCCAGGACAAATGATTTTGCTGGCCTCCTACAGCCCACGGACTGGACATTCCCTAGCCTACTTCGTTTTGTTTTAGTTCTGTCTATTGTGCTTTGGAATTATCTGCCCTAGCTTACTGGATGAATAGAGTATTATCTCATATACATGAGGACACATTAAAACAGTCACAGAATACTGAATTAAAAGATAAGTTTCAGGCCTGGCATGGTAGCCTAGCGGCTAAAGTCCTCGCCTTGCACACACCAGGATCCCACACAGGCGCTGGTTCTAATCCTGGTGGCCCCGCTTCCCATCCAGCTGCCTGCCTGTGGCCTGGGAAAGCAGTTGAGGATGCTCCAAAGCCTTGGGAACCTGCATCCGCACGGGAGACTCGCAAGAGGCTCCTGGCTCCTGGCTCCTGGCTTTGGATCAGCTCAGCTCTGACTATTGTGGCCGCTTGGGGAGTGAATTGGCAGAAGGAAGATCTTGCTCTGTGTCTCTCCTCTTCTCTGTATATCTAACGCTCCAATAAAAAAAGTTAAGCTTCTTTCAGCACAGTTCTGAAATATTAGCACACAGAGTCTTCAAAATGTTCATGAAGTGGCAAGCATTTAGTACAACTGTTACCATTCTGCATGGAATGTCACGGCCTGTGTCAGTGCATCTGGGTGCCAGCCCCGGCTCCATCTTCAATCCCAACTTCCTAAGACCGTGAACCCTGGGAGGCAGCAGGTGATGACCCAGATGGCTCAATCTCTGCTAGCTGTGTGAGAGACCCAGATCGAGTCCCAGGCTTCAGGCTTTGGTCTGGCCTAGCACAGACTGCTACAGGTGTTCAGGACGTGAACCAGCAGGTAGCAGATCTCTGTCAGTCTGTCCACTTGTAGGTCTCTGCACCTTTCACGTAAAATAAACATTTTAAAGATTTATTTTATTTTTATTGGAAAGAAAGATCTTCCATCCGCTGGTTCACTCCACAGGCGGCCGCAACGGCTGTAGCTGTGTCTATCCGAAGCCAGAAAACAAGAGCTTCTTCCTGGTCTCCCACGCGGGTGCAGGGTCCTAAAGGCTTTGGGCTGTCCTCGACTGCTTTCCCAGGCCACAAGCAGGGAGCTGGATGGGAAGTGGCGCAGCTGGGACACGATCCGGTGGCACCCATACAGGATTCTGGTGTGTGCCAAGATGAGGACTTAGCCAATGTGCCACCACACTGGGCCCAAGTAAAATAAACATTTTAAAGTTCACAGAGAACGCACACCATGAAAAAACCACACACGGATTTCACCACTGTTGTACCAAAATAAACGTCTTTTACTTTCTCTGCTTTAAATATGTATTATTTATTTGTTGTACAGGCAGAGCTGGATAAGGAGTTAATCTTCCATCCACAGGTTCACTCCCCAAACAGCTGCCACAGCTCGGGCTGGGCCAGCCTGAAGCCAGGAGTCAGGAACTCCATCTATGTCTCCTACATAGGTGGCCAAGGCACAAGTACTTGGGACTCCCCCTCTGCTCCCATCCCAGGCACGTTACCAGCAAGGAGCTGGATCAAAAGCAGAGCAGCCGAGACTGCAAACTATGCCACTACAGGCAGTTGCTTAAACCCCTGTGCCACAACATGGGCCCCAATAAACATCTTTTGATTTCATTTTCCATGATTTTTTAAAATTTCCTAAGCTGTCTACCTGTATCTTATTCTTTGAGCTACGAATTTATATCATTTTTATCAATTTTTCCAAAGGCTGATTCGTCTTCTATTTGATTTATAGGAGCTATTGTATCTCAAGTAAAACAAAGCAGTAAATTTTAGTCCCCTGTGAATGAGAAACAGCGTAACATAATATAGCTATTAGAATCTGAAAGACTTCTGACAACATCAAATTTTCTCATATCGTTTCAAATCAGTCATGTTTTTCAAAGTCACTTCTGAAACCGTCTTAAATGGAGGGAAAGCAGTGCTTGCCCATGGGTGTGCCAACGCACTCAGCAGTGGCCAAGGGCAAGCCTACAGAGCCGCCAGGTCCTCCACTCCAGGCCTGCAGCTGGCCAGACACCACCCACAGCACGGGTGCACTCAGAAACCTATGCCATCTGAGGCGCAGAGAAAGGCTTCCGAGGGCCTCCGGGTGTATAGATGGGTCGTATGAGAACAGGAAGGACTGACAGAATATTAGCAAAGCTCTGTGGGAGGTGAAACGCAAGGACCTTGGCCTGAGAAGTGGCCCAAGACATATCAGAAGCACTTTCCTTCACAAAAGTAGAACTCCACAAATTTACTTTGACATTATTAAGTATGCCAAACTTCATCTACACCTTAATCAACTATGTAAAGATCATCAAAATTAAAATAAGTAAATGAACTCTGTCTATAATTCACTACGTAACAAAACAAATAAGGAAGGAAAAAAAAAAAGAAAGAAAAAAAGCACAGATTTCATTTCCCAAAGCAGGCAAGATGTACTTTAGCTCTGCTCTGAAGCAGAACCCCCCCAGATTCTATTTTCAGGCGCCTGCTTGGTACCACACTACTTGCCTGTGTTAGGACGTAACTCCTTTGCGCTTCTTCTATGTCAACTAAACTGGCATTAATATAATCATTTTCTGTATTTTGCAGCTTAACACGACTGTGATCATCTGAAAATAGAGAATGAAAACCATAAATGTCATTGCAAGTTTATCATTTTTTAGAATCCTAATAGTGTTGGTCTACGTATTAACAAATGGATAGAAGAAACTTGAAAAGCTGACCAGAGTTGAGCAGGGTAAAATAAATAAAGCACTTATCTTCCTAGAGGGAAAGGAGCATCTGGCTGTTGTGCCTACAAGTGAATTTTGTCTACACCACAGACACTGCAGTCCCCGGGAGGTGGTGCTTCATTCTCTTCCCCTCTCAACTGACGGGCAGCCAACAAGGTTTCAGTACTTTCTCAGCACTTACCTATGCTTAGGTGAAGTGCTGAAAAATACCAAAACACAAGTGGAATACTTCACTTTTCAAAAGACTAGTGAGGATGTTATATAACTTAAAACTTAACGATTTTGACATATTTCTAGTTTTTTTAAATACATGTGTCTGGTTTGAAAAAATACGTATGTTTTAAATGTTACCTTAAATACGAAAAATACAAAACGTGACTTTATTATCATTTTTGATGGAAATGGAAGACAAGGAGGAAACAGCACAGAACTAACATTAACTTAGAATCCTAAACATTATAAGAGGCACATACTGCATGGTAACTAAGCCTGATGTCTGACAATAACTCTGGAAAATGCACTCTAGTATAAGTTTTCCCCTCAAGGAAGTAAGTATCCACTTTCCTCTATTGCCAAAATTAAAAAAAAAAAAAAACTGGAAGAAAATGTTGGATGGGTTTCCTTTCACACATCAGTTTATCTGAGATGTTTCTGCTGGACTGAACCCAAGACCTTTGTAAATATTACATGTCATTTGCCAACAGGAAAAAACTCAGCTCTTATTATAGTAAATCACATATACTAGTGTTCTCGGAAACATGACGTCAGCAAGAACTTTTTTTTTAAAATCACCTTTTTTTTAAAAAAAAGTTAATCACTCTTCAACCATGTATAAGCATATGAGATGGTAAAAAGGTCAGCTATCTAATTAGCAAGGGAATGACTCTGTATGTCTCTCAACATACCAACAGAATAATTGATGCTTTTACCCAAAGTCCACTTCAGTGTTACAGCAAAGGAAGGTATTTACTCCTGTTGTAATTACAGAAAGAACACAACCCCCAAGGCTGTTACTCATACCTATTGCACAACTAAAAACAGCCACCTGGCCAACAAGCAGAATGGATCCACAAACACTCAGAAGGCTCATCTCTCAGGGCACTGGAAGTTCAATTATCCTGCCTGGCGTTTTCCCAGAACTCGGCAGGGACAAGGAGGAGAGAGGCCTAGCCAAAGACCTCCGGCAGTGCAGTTTTTAGGTATCTGAGATCTAAAGCATTTGATACTTGTGTCAGATTTTGACCCAGAATTCCCTACTTTTTTTCTCTCAATCTTTCAAACCCACTCCAGCTTTCACATTATGCATTATATAAACAGTAACCACAAACCAGCCTGAGAGTATTATTGGAGTGAGCATGGCACAGGTGCTACCTGAAGGTACCTGGAGGCCTCCAGGCTCGGCTCCAGGCAATGCCCTTGCTTCCTGTCCTCAGCCCTGATTTACACACAGTTCACAAAGCGCAAAGGAATATCATGAACTTCTTCAACTTTTTGAATTTTGCCAGCAGATAACACCAAAAAGGAAAGGTGATTGTTAGAACTTCTGGGGGTATTCAGAATTTGTTCCAAATGCTGGATGAACCTATAATTCCACCTTGGGATTCTCAAAAACATATCGACATCACTAGATACGTACTTTAATTCTGTTTATTAAGGAGGTTAACAAAAATGTATTCACTTTTTGATTCAGAGAAGGCTGTGTAGAGGGGGAAAACTTGGAGTTTCTGGTGCTAAGTAAAACACATCACCTTAAAATAACTGTTGAAAAAACATGACAAATACGTGCATTTCAGGAATGGAAACGGTCGCAGTCTCTCAGTAAGACATTGTGACTTCACAGTGTAGATTGTTCAGTAAACATAAAGGACGTGCCTGCTTGTCCAAGGAGGAATCATTCGATGTGAGCTTTGCATTATCTGTACAGCCGACATGCTCCTTGCCAAGCGAGCAGCTTTCCTCCTTTCTCTGCCCTGTTACTTTCAGTCAGCCCCAAAGCCACCAGCTTTTTATCCCAAGGCAAACCACCAGCTTCTGAATTAGAAAACATAAAGTGACTTGTTTTCTCTTTTCCACAGTTTACCCTGCCAGGAACCTCTGAAATCTGAATACTAAGATGAGAGTCCCCTAACCTCTGGGCTGTATGTATAAAGACTACTTCACAACCATTCTAAGTCTGTCTGTCTGTCTGTCTGTCTCTGCCCCATGCTGCAAAGGATCCAGTAAAGGGAGCAGAATGAAGACAGTTTAGACTACATTGCCTGGGGTGCCAGCAAACCACACTTCCACAGAAAAGCCAGGTTTTTCAACAGCTATTAGCGCCACTGGAGGAACTGCACAGGCCTCTTTTCTGCAAGGCCATCATCTGTTCCTGTCACTGAATGAACCAAGAAACGCAATGCCCAAATAGAATTGTGGTTTCTAAGCTGGATGAAGATTAAACCAACTTCTGACGAAGAGTTCGTTTACCTCCTACCCTCAGGGAGTGTGTTTTCTGAGAAATGGTTTCATCTTTCACGAAATGACTAGCTCAGCCTGTGGCCTGAGCTGACAATAAAGATCCACTTCCTCTTCCCATTCTGTCATAACCAGGGTTTTAAAAAACGGGGGGGAGGGCCCAAGGGTTTCATCTAATTTATCATTTTTCATCCTAACTATCCTCAACAGGCTACATGAAACCACAGACTAGGAAGAAGTGGCTCATCAAACAGACGAGAAAACCAACCACACCAGCAGAGCGTGAACCATTGAGCGCTCCTGCTCTGGTCTGCCTATTCTCCTGGAGTAATCCAGTGTTTTACACTGTGATGTCTACCCTGAAATGGCATTTCCTGATAAAAGTCAAGCCATCTCTCTTCAGTCCTGCAAGTAAAATAGCTGAGATACAAATTGTACGATTTTCTTTCATAAACTAGAAGAAGAGCCAAAGGGAAGGGTCAAACCAAGAGCCAAGGCACCATCAACACGACTACATTAACGAGGAAGACAAAGTGGGGGCTGGTGCTGTGGCATGTAGGCTAAGCCTCCACCTGCTGTGTCACTGGCATTCCACAGGTGTGCTTCAGACAATCCTCCTGCTAACGTGCCTGGGAAGGCAGCAGAAGACAGGCCAAGTCCTGTGGATCCTGGATCCATGTGAGAAATCTAGAAAAAGTTCCTGGCCTCCGGCTTCAGCCCGCCTGGCCCTGGCCACTGCCATCAGATGGAGAACTTTGTCTCCCCTCCAGTCTCTCTGCCTTTCAAATACATTTAACACAAAATCCCCAAAAATAAAAACCACAAACTTGAGTACAGAGTGCTAACATTTCAATTATTTGTTCTGCAAAGAAGATTCTGTTTGAAGAAGGGTTTCTCACTGACTACATACTTAACTAGAACTACCACCGCAATGCTGATGGCACGGCGCATCTCACTGCTTGCCTCTGATTCCTCAAACACCTACAATGTGAATATTATGCCCATTGAAGCTCTGAGACAGTCACTGGAATCAGCACAAGGGGGTTCGATGCTAGGGGTGACAGGCATTTCCTCCAGCACCCTGGCTCTCCATCCTGCATCTCCACCGGTGCCGTCGGCAGCCTTCCCACCTGCTCTAGCCTCCTGACATCAGCCTCCTCACCGCCCTTACCTCCAGGCTTAGCTCCAACTTTTCTCTCTCAGACACCATCTCCTTGAAGATCTGGCCTGACTTACTTCTTCACACACATTCTCTGATGGTCTGTTCTGTCCTTCTCACTACTATCTCAGCACTCACACATGATGTGTAGGCAACAAACATTTTAAGGGATATAAGGATAACTGTTATTTGCTTAGAGTCTCTCTCTTTTTTTTTTTTTTTTAAGGTCTTTTTATTTATTTGAAAGTCAGAGTTTCTGAGAGGGAGAGAGAGAGACAGAAGAAAGAAACTTTCTAACCACTGCTTCATTCGCTAGATGGCCACAAGAGCCACAGCTGCACCAGGCCAAGGGCAGGGGTCTAAAATTCCACTTGATTCTAAAACACAGGCTCAGACACTTGGGTCTGTTCCCAGACCATTCCCAGGGAGCCCGCTGGGAAGCAGAGTATCTGGGACACAAATGTCCACATGGAATGGTGGCTTTGCAGACGATGGGTTTACATACTATACCACAATACCAGTCTGCTTAGAACTTTTTTTTGTTTTTAAGATCTTTCTTTATTTTTATTGGAAAGTCAGATATATAGAGAGGAAGAGAGACGGAAAGGAAGATCTTCCGTCTGCTGATTCACTCCCCAAGTCAGCACAACAGCCTGTGCTATGCCGATCCGAAGTTAGGGGCCAGGAGCTCTTCCAGGTCTCCCACGTGGGTGCAGGGTCGCAAGGCTTTGGGCCGTCCTCCACTGCTTTCCCAGGCCATAAACAGGAAGCTGGATGGGAAGTGGGGGCAGCCGGGATTAGAACCGGCACCCATATGGGATTCCGGCACATTCAAGGTGAGGACTTTAGCCGCTAGGCCACATCACTGGGCCCTAGAACTTTTTTAAAGGAAGAAAAAAGCCTTCTGTTAGGTAATAAATCTGAAGACTGTAATTGAAGCATCAAGTATGGTGGGGAAAAGCTTAACCAGCTGATGACTGGTAGGCCTCATGAGATGAGCAGGCTGTGACAGGTGGTTGAGGAAGGATACAGGAAACTAGCCAAAGAACAGATTTCAGGGGGAATAAAAGGCGAATTGGGAAAGACTGAAGAAGTCACCAAGGAGAGGCCCCAGATCACACCCAGAGACTCCACAGGGCGCCATGAGCTGTGCAGGCACCACATTATCACCGGGGCAATTCTTTCAACGTTGTAGCAGTCAGCTATGCCACCTCCTGAGGTGCCAGTATCCCTTGTGAGTGCCAGCTCCAATGGATAACAGATC